CAATTGAGAGTAAAAGTGTTTTCAAATGAGATCTTTTTAATTGATAAGGTTTAAGTATATATTGCCATAATGCATTAAAATTGGAACATTTTGTGACCCTCAAAACCAAACATGAATGGATGCATTTTCAGATTCAGAAAAACAGCAAATTTCAAGATTTTATGATTTATAAATAGAATAAGAATTTCAGTACAATTCAAATTATGTTATACATTCTAAATTAGATCTATTAATTTCAGAGAAAGACCTTGGTATTGTGAACCTCTCAGGAAACAACCTCAAAACTCTGCCGCCTGAGATCACCAGATGGGACAAGCTAGAAAAGCTAGACCTGAGCAAGAACTACGGACTACGCAGAACAAAGGCCAACGACAACACCAGCTTACCACAGGAAATTCTGACCCTCGCCAATTTACGGGAACTCATCATATCAGAATGCAATCTACAGCGACTTCCTACGATCATCTGGCAAATGACAAACCTCCACGTTCTGGATGTCAGCCGCAACAAAATCAACATTCTTGTGCCTGAGGTTGGAAACTTGAGCAATCTCAGGAAAATAAACCTGAAGCACACAAATATCACCTCCCTGCCACCAGAGATTGTGTATTGTCAAGACCTGGAGGAAATTCTTTTGTGGGGAAACAAGATTTCAACTTTACCAGAAACTCTACCTGAACTACTGAAATTAAAAACACTCGGTCTGAATTATCGTGATTTCTGTGGACAAATGGATGCTATGCGGGAAAAGTTTCTCAATACTGGACAAGTTAAATCAGACTACATTCCTCAAATTGTGTTTGACCTACCTGCACTTGAGTCACTGGATTTAGAAGGTACCAAAATTAACAACATGCCTGAAACAACTAACCATGGTCTTAGAGAACTAAATCTCAGTCGAAATTTTCTGAATGTGTTGCCAAGGAGTGTGTACAATTTAAATCACCTCACCTTACTGAATTTATCAGACAACCAATTCAGCAATCTTCCAGATGAACTGGGAAATCTGAAAAGTTTGATGAAGCTTCGTCTTGCAAACAATCAAATCCACTTTCTACCCTTGACCATAGGAAACCTAAAGAACTTGAAAGAATTGGATGTGTCATTTAACAGATTGAAGAGACTTCCAATCAACATCAAAGGTTTAAGAAATCTTAAATATCTCCATGCTGAAAAGAATGACCTAACTGCTGTACCTGATGAAATATGTGAACTGGTGGAACTAGAGACACTCAATTTGACAGAAAACAACATCCACACCTTACCAATGAGGCTACATCGTTTGACCAAACTGAAAGATGCCCATGTGTATGACAGATATAACAAGCATGGTTTGTGGCTTTACAAAAACCCACTCACCACTCCACCAATGGAGATTTGGAGGACAGACAAAACTGAAAAGATTTTTGACTACCTCAAAAAACTGGCCATTATCAAAACAGAGAACCTGCAGAGACAGAAAATGCTAGTCTTGGGAGAATCTCAGTGTGGAAAATCCACCCTGATGATGGGGCTAGTTCATGGTATTTCTCTCTCTTCTGTGGAAGAGGATGATAAAGGCAGGAAATCAAAGCAGGAAGACATGGAAGACAAGCGAAGAAAAAGTTATGACTTGGAAGACAAGCGAAGAAAAAGTTACGGAAGCAACATAGAGAGTGTAGTTCAAGAGCATGGAGAGAGTCAACCAGAAAGTTTGCCTCTTACCAACAAAACTGAATTCATTGAGCAAACTATATGGAAGACAGAAAACATGGTGGAGTTTGTGATAAATGACTTTGGTGGAGATGATGCCTACAGGATAAGTTATCCACTATTCCTAGATGCCAATGCCCTGGTTTTGCTGGTTTATGACCATAGTGAGTACTCAAAAAATACCCATCAAACCTCCATCGGGCAGTGGTTGGACCTGCTCAGTAGGTACACACCTGGTGTTGCAATCAAACTTGTAGGAACCAAAATAGATCTGTGTGAAGATTTCTTTGCTGTTGAAGAAACAGAAGATCTGGTTAGAGAATTAGTTCAGGAACACTTGGAAAACTATCTTGGAAAATTACGAATGGAACTAGGTAATGTTGAGAAAGACTTAAAAGAGGCAAAAAGTAGTTCCAATGAAGAATATGTGGCACATCTAGGAAATCTGAAAGAAAAACTGGAGTACCTTATATCAAAACCTGTAAAAATTATACCTGAAATTGCCACTGTGTCTTCACAAGAGGGATTACCAGGTGTCAGTAAGCTTGTTAACAGTATTGAACTACTGGCCATTGACACAGAACTCTTCCCGCATGGCCAGCGATGTATACCAGACCTGTGGAACAAACTCAGGGCTAGGCTCAAAAGACGAAGTGGATACTATCTCAGCTGGGAAGTAGTGGAAAAAGTAGCCAGTCTTTGCCATGTTAAAGAAGATTCCCTGGAAAGTGCTCTTCAATACCTCCATGACATTGGAGAAGTGATGTGGTTCAAAAACAATCCTGGACTCTCCAAAATCTTGTTCCACAAACCACGCCTGTTGGTGGATTTAATCACCTCACTATATCATCATAACTTTGAGGAATTCTTCAACTACGATGAAAACAAAATCTTCATGAGCATGGGAAAATTCAATAAAGACACTTTCAATGAAGCTGTGGAAATCTTTGTAAAATATGGACAGATTTCTCGACCACTCTTGAGCTGTCTGTGGTTCAACCATCGCCTTACGGATTGTAAGTTTACAGAACTCCTAGAACTCATGCCTTATCTTGACATTTGTTACACAATTCCCCAGCCAGAGGTCCCCACAGGAAATAACATCAAACTTCCTCTAATGGTGCTTCCTTGGTTCAACAAAGAAATGGCAGAAAACGACTTGGTTGAGGATTTTGAGAAAGGTCCTCCTGAAAATGTAAAACCCATTACTTTGGAATACAAGTTTCCACTTCGACTACCAAAGGGTGTGTTTGAAAGGATTTCTGCCTGTCTTCAAGACTACGTCCTTTCCCGCATAGACTGGAAGAATGCGGTCTATGCTACTTTAGAGGATGCCAATTTCCTCCTTCTCTGCTCAGTGAGTGACCCTAGTTCATGCAACTCAATAACTCTTATGATCAAAGGACAGTCTGAAACCCTCCCGGCATCAAGTATGAGAACAATCACACAGGTCATAGCTAACACACTTCTCAAAGTAGAGGGTCTGGTGTGGAAAATTAAGGCACCCAAAGATGCATGGCTCAATCAAGTTATTCAATTCAGAAAGAAAGATATCACAACTGAAGAATAAGAGTGACTCTATTTTTTTTAGCCAATTTGTTAAAAATTTAACATTAAGAATATTTATTATTTATTGCTGAGATGATGCTAGATTAAACTGTGGACTGAATCAGATGACCTACAGAAGGTATATTTGACAGTTTGAGGATGTATGAGGGTGTGTGTATGAGTGTCATGCTAGGTGAATGTTTAACCACAAATGTTTGAATATTTATAAAATCATGAAAACCCTTTTCAAATTTATGCAAACACATTAGCATATATGTACCCATCAACTTTATGAACAAAATCTGTGATACAAGAGATAAAGTGCATTCCAATCAAATACAAACCTTATTTACATGTATGCCAATGCTCAGCTGATAGTTTTTTATATGAATATTAAATTTATTGTTTTATTCCATAATAAAATCAATTAAAATGCCAAGTTTTATCATATTTCATATCACGAATAAGATGGGGGCCATAATGTTACTTGTATTAAAGTTTTAAAAATATCCTTCTCCAAAACTAGTGTCTGTTTTGTACTTGTGACAACATTTTATTTCAAGAATCATTCTCTTACCAAAAGAAATATGCAACCAAAGAGATAATCCATCAACAACATATATTTAAGTTAAGCAGTATTTCAGTTGTGGCAATTCATAACTATCATCCTAATTACTGGTATAATTCTTTTTACGTCAATTTTATGTCCAGTGATCATTTTATTTTCAAAATGGAAAAAAGTAGAATCAATTGTAATTCAAAGAAATGAAACCATTATTGATGAGAAATTCAAAATTTTGATAAGCTTGTTAAGAAATTCTTTCATGAAGAGATTTTCTAAATTAGAATGAAAATTCAATGGAGAGATTTTCTACATTAGAATGAAAATCAATGGAGTCCATCAACAATTACGATTCATCAAACCGGTTTAAATAAAGATTCAAGAAAGACAGTGATTGGTAATCACATAGAAATACAATTGTTCCAAACCCACTTTGACACATTACCACACACCAAAGGTTATGTGTCCATTCAATGACTGCCTGCTGCAACATTCACTCATATTTGTGAATGAATTACTGAATTCATGTATTTATTATGTGATGCCATATTTATCTTGACGAAAAAAAACAAACTCTGAAACAATTGCTGGTATTTTGGTATTGCCCACCTTGGTCACTAAGCTTGGAAGATTTATTGATAAAAATACTTTTTAAAAATCCTGAGAACAGGAAGATTGTGGAAATTTAATAGGGATGTGCGATTTTATCGGTATACCGGTATATCGCGATTTTTTGTTGCGTGATACGTATCGTGATACCGAGATCTAAATACCGGTCTTTAGGTACATATTATAAAGTCCAGAAATTATTCATTTATTTGTTCAATCTTTCAAATTACAGTTACAGAAAGTAGAAAAAAGGTTGTAAAAAGTGAAAAGAACGGCATCTTACCGTCCAAACATAATTGATTTTATATACATAAAAATTTCAAGAAAGCAACATTTTGTTTATCTAGCATACTTTTTAGAAAAATAATGACTTTTCATAAAAAATCATTGTAAAAACTGCTTTTAAAAATATCATGATATTATCGTGATATTGTGGGAAAAAACCCTGATATACCGCGATACGAAATTTTGGGCGATACCCTAAAATTTAACAAACAGAATCCCCTTTTTCAACTCAAAGTTATTTTGCATCTATTACAAAGCTTCAAATGGCACAAAACGTGATCACTAGAGAAGTACATGTACTCACCTGTGAATAAAAAGCGAACATCCTCATGGACTTGACTGGGGAGAAGAACAACAGAGGTATAGCAATCTCTATCACATAGGTAACCACACAGCTCAGCTTGAGGAACCACACAGGCAGGTGGTGAAAGAACCAGGCAAAGGGAGTGGGGATACACTGAAACATTTCAAATGATTATATATTAAATTTTTATTTTCTTTGAAATTTTAACCATTTTCTTTCCAACAATTTTTATATCTTTTTTGAGACATGCAAAGGGAAATATTTACATCCACTGATATTTTCTTCTTTATTTCTTAAGAAAACCCATTGCGTTCATCACTGCATGAACTACATTAGGCATGTCGCCTGAACAGATTTCTTGATCAGTGGCCGTTCCATCAATGAAACGTACAAAGACGTTCGCATCATTAAAACAATAATTAATATTTTTAATCCTACTTAAAATGATAATTTAAACAGATATAAATATAAACAATAAAATGTCTTTCTTTGTTTGTTATTACTGGAATGAACGGTCGCAGCTATTGCAGAAAAAATTTACACACCCGCATAAGCGGGTTATGTATTTTTTCTGCAACAGCTGCTTCCGTTCATTCCAGTAATAACAAACAAAGAAAGCATTTTATTGTTTAAATAATCTCTGTCCCTGCAAATGACCATAATCATTAATTCAATAATTTAGAGAAATAGAAAATACTTGTACAGTTTAGTTTAAAATATTACAGGTAAGTCCTACCTGAGATTCAAAATGCACTGTGAGAGCTACAAAATAAAAAATACCTTTTGTCAGCATGAATCTTATAAATGTACTTTAAATCATCATGAAATTAATTCATTCCAAGAAGACCCAAAATAATAATTTTTTAAAGTTAATCTGAAGTCTTGGAAACTTTCTACCTGTAAGTCCCCACCAGGTGGGACACCCACTGGTCAGTTTGACCACCCCCGAGGCAAACATCAATCTGAAGAGGAGCCACCTGACCAACCACAGAGTGATTCTGTCGTGTTGGTGGTGGGAGGAGAAAAACTGCATGTTAAACGGGGCCAGGAGAACGGCGAGAAATCCCGTCTCCAGCAACAGAATGTCCCTGTGAATGTAAAGACATAGACATACTTTGAATTTCACTTGACCTTTAAATTTATTTTTTTCATTAATTTCAAAAAAATATACGCTTTCATAAAATTCAATACAATATTGGATGAACTGGATGACTGTGCAGCCAAACTTCTTATATACTGTCTACAAATGATAATTTATTGTATATGTTAAATACATTATCATCAACATGTTTACAGAGAGGCCTCAATGACTTTTACAACATTAAATTGTTATTTGTTTCACTTACCACTGAAACCAAAGGAATGTCTGGCCCACCTAAAATACATAAAATACACATACTTACTAGTTATTTGTAATAGTTAAAATAAAATGTAATTTCTCTCATTATTTTAGAAGAAAATTAAATTATTGTATAATAAAATATTCTATTCAAAGGCAAAATGCAATATATTTCTAAAAGCATTTGTAAATAGAATCTACATTGCTATTCAAACATTAATGGTCCATGTAGATGGCAAATTCCTGTTTCCAGTTCGTATTCAAAACTAACTTGTTTAGGTCATTATAGACCTGACCATCATTAGACTAAAGCTGTAGCTTTTCCTACTTGATACAGAGAGAGATAAATCATCCATAGCAGGGTGAAGGAGATCATGTCACGGGTGGTGGAGAAGACGACACAACAGAAGGAGATCAGGATCCCACACAGACACAGCAGGTCCATCCCGGTCTCCGTATCCAGCCCAAGCCTCGGCATCAGTCTCAGTAAGGTGGGCTGGCCCTCCAGAAGCTCCTCCCAGGACGAAATCTCTATAAAGTTAATCACAATCATATTAATAAGCTTACATTTCAAAAGACCCCCACAAAGAAGGAATCACTGTCTAGTTAGTAGAGTATGCCAGGGCATTAAAGATAGTTGGAAATGTGGGATAATTTGCATGATGGGCAAAATTTTCATTCCAGTAGAATTATCAAGATATCAACTCAAATAACATTCAAAAAGATATCACAGAGAACATAAATAGAAATGGAAATATTAAATCATTAACATTCTGTTAAAGAATTTCTGATAAATGCGTAATATTTATCTTTGAAATTAATTATTACCTTTTGAATTTAAAGTCAACTTGGCTGGCAAAATACCATTGTCACCAAATAAACCTTAAAGTAAATACAAAGTGAGATAATCATGATGTTCAATTAAATTACTTCAAAATAAATCAAAACACCAAAAACTGAAAGTGTAATGTTTTGCATCGTCAGAAACCCACGGGTGATCTCGTCTTTACTTATCACCCGTGGGCAAACTAGCTGAAATATCGCCGTAAAATATGCTAATTTGTTGTTTTTAGTCAACCAATCAGAAAGTTGGAACTCTTCAATTTTGAAAAATATGTTTATTACTTTGCTATTTATGGTAAATATTTTGACGCTTGTTAAAACGTGCGAAGTTTGATTTAAAACAATGAAAGTCAATTCGTACAGGTCACTGACATTAATATCCATCAGATATTATGAAAGAGTACCTCTTTCTAACTGCAAAATGCACCAGTGAGTGGATTTATCAGCTGTGTTAACTACGGAATGAGTTTTTCATGTTTTTGGCAATGCCGAACATGCATACGTAACGTGAACTGTGATTCGTTGTTTCGCATCGCGACTCTGTGATGCAGCCAATCAAATGACCCATGCATATTTAATTACATACGACGATTTTTCGGCAAGTTTGCCCACGGGTGATTAGTAAAGACAAGATCACCCGTGGGTTTCCGACGATGAATGTTTTGGGAATAGTGTGTTAAAAAATTTTAATTTATAAAGGGCACAACAAAAATTTTCAGCATTTTTCAAACTTGTTCTCAGCAGAATATGAACACAAAACATATATAACTACAAAATAACATACCTAAAACATTTCTCAGTCCATATTACATTTTAATAAATCACTTCCAGCATGATAAAATTTCATGAAAACTTAACAATCACCTAATATTTTTGCCACCCCCCTTCAACCCTGTGACAACTTTCTATTCTAAAATTTATACATAATATAGCATTACCAATAGAATTTACAAATAGGAAACTACAAGCAACAGATTAAAAAGAATATATTTTAGAAATCTATTCAAGTTCAGTCAATATGTTTCTATTTTCAAGGTATTATCCTATAAGCAATATTTACTGGATTTGAATCATTTTCCTTCAACAGGAAGTGAATCAGAAAGTGAGGATATTATATACTTGTAAATCGGTTTGACTGAAGTTACATCTGGACTTCTCAGATGTTTTATACTTGACAATTATAATCTCCTGATTTACATATTTATGAGAAATTTTGACTTTGTCACTAAATATGAATATAACAGATCCATACTTTTGATATTTAACACTTTTGCTATGCCAAGTGCATGTGTAAATTAACTAAATAGCTAATGTACTATGAGAAAATGGACTCGAAGTGTGCAACAGAAAGCAATATTTTTATAAAACAAAACATTGACAATACGTTTTATTTCCATTATGGAACTCTTCAGAATTAGAGGCGCCTTTAGTCGCAAATCTCAATCCAATTTTAAAAGTTAAATGTATTTTTCATTCCGATATAACAGATACAAATGATAAACAATAGATAAAAAATTGATATCGACGTTTCTACTCATGATGCATATAAAGTCCACAACAATAAAATAATTCATTTGATTTCTGTTAGGATTTGTTCACCGACATCTAACATATTGTTTTCATGTTTATGTTATGTTTGTCCCAAAAATCTCGTAAGATTTGTACATTTTGCACTTTTTTACAAAAGAGTGCGCTAAGAACTTTAATTCTTCATTAGTAAAAATAAGATGTATTCAAACTAAAATTTAAATTCCACTTTATGTATATCAATGAAGCAAAATTATAAAGTCTCTGATAAGACTGAAGCTCTACTGGTTTGTACAGCATAAATTTTTAATCACCTATAGCACCTCTACTAGACCTAGGGGTCAGTTTTTATGCTCTCCCCCCATAATCAAAGAACTAAGAGTACAGTGTTTCTGCCCTTTTCATCCATCTGTCTGTTTCTCTGAAAAAATTATACCTTGTCCATAACAGTTGATTTCTCCTCAAATCTTGAGCTTTCACAATGAAAATTTACATAATAACACTCTATGGCCTAAAGAAACCCTATTGATTTTGATAGCCAAATATCAAAGGTCATGGTCATAAATTCATGAAAACTGTCAGTTATAACACTTTCATTTTTCAACATGTTCAAGAGGGCTTTGAACTTTTGCAAAGAAATTTTTAAGCACAATTCCCAATGGCCTATGTAACACCCCCATTGAAATTGAGGTCAAAAGGTCAATGATCAAGGAAATAAAATCATCCTTTCTGTCTGAATAAAAGTTTCAATTCTTTGCAATATCTCAAGAAGCTTTTGCAAATGACTTTTATAAAATAACTCCCTATGGCATCATGCCCCTCTTTTGACACCCCCTCTTGATCCTAGCATGCTTTTCTTTTTTTCCTAAAGTGGGTGGAGGGGGCAGATTCTCTAAATATATCTTAAGTAATTCAAATTAAATTCAAATGTGTAGGGTATTTTAGTTTGCAAAGTACCTACACATTTCTCATATGTATTTCAAGTAAATTACTACAATTCATATTTACTTGTGTCTTTTTTGGGGGCTAGGTAATGAAGTGGGGGGAAAAATACCGTAAAACGGGTACTTTTCACGTATTGCTAATTTTTAAGAGTTTTATAAATCCGTAAAACTTAAACACGTTAAATTTCACAGAAGTAAAAAAACGCCTCGCCTAAATTTTGAACATCGTATTATGAGAGTATTTCAATGCTATCCTTGCCATTTAGCTTAGTACCTGGAGGCTGTAGAATTTGTACTGACACTCATTGGTATTTTGGGGAACTTTTTAATTGATTATCGATTAGGATCAAACAAGTAAATCTTAATTAATGCACGAATTATACAAACACCTTCAATTACCTGATTCCTCTTACGGGACGCATAATTTCCGATAATGGCTTAATTATTATAGACTGAAGTCTTCAAATTTTATCCGTTTTTCAAGACTTTGACCCTTTCTTCTTTTTATTTGCTTCTAGTAAAAACTTAGACATTTTAATGCATCGTAATCTGTGTCCCCTGTAATTCTGTCAACTTAATGATGATGGCTTGAGTTGTCTCTCTTTGTTTTCATTAAAATGAAGACGGGTACATGGGGCGCAACAAGAATAATGCATGAACATGTGTATTCATTGCATACATGCCAACTTTTGAAAATTGTCTTGGGGGAGATTGCGCGTAACGTCATTTTCAAAAGTTCTTAATTCGCGGCATTTTGTCGTGAAATAACTTTTTGTAGGTTTTTTTTCTAAATTATCAATCTACTACCTTAATTATATCTTATATCATTACTACTTCAAAAAGTGTTTTCTTCTCTATCAACTTAAAGAAAAGCACAAATACAACATTTATATCATTTAAATATATATTTATTATATATCATTTAAATTTTTTTTAAAAAAGACAATTTTATTCAAAATTATTTAATATGTTAATATTAAGATCAATATACCCTCTGCCTTGAAGAATGTGATACACAAAGTTAACATATTAGTACATAAATAAGGATGTTAAACTTTGCAAATAAGCTGAACTGTTCATTGTGTGTTGGTAAATTACAAAGTTATTATAAGGCTACTGTTACATTATACAAAATATTGTTAAATTATTTTTTTCTTAATCAGAGGGAATATTAAGTCATTTTAACTTTTCAATCAAAGTCTGCAAAAGGCATGGTCTTTTCCTTTCTTTTTTATTTTGATCACTCTGGGCAGTCCTAATGGTTTTTTCCATGTTGGATTTTGGCAGTGTCTTTTCCATGAAGTAGATTATAATTTAATGAGGAATGCAATATTCCAAAACTTGAACACCTTTTATAAACGGTTGATACGTATATTGTCGAAGTTTGCTGTAAAGTGTGAACTCTCACAAGTTTGTCAGTTTGTATCCAGTGTCGTGTGTATTTCTAAAATTTCCACATCTGGCTTAATTGTCTCAGTTAAAATACACTGTTAATGAGGTTCAGGAGCAATAGAAACCTCTGTAATGACTGGTAGCACAGTTGACACCTTGTTGATTACCTGTTATCAGCAGCAATAAACAGATACCCTACCGATAAACATTGAAACAGACATGTTTTCTGCACACGGAAATACTGTATTATTCAAAGCGAATCGGTAAAAATTCCGGATTTTCGAAATATCGGTAGAAATGGGAGAAAAAAATTAATCGGTTAGACAAGCGGTAGACAGGGTTAAAAATCGGTAGACTCCCGAAAAAATCGGGAAAGTTGGCATGTATGTCATTGACAAAGGAATAAATTCAGAGCATGTGATATATAAAGGTATTTAAATGAATAAACATATCACTTAAGGAATTGACACTCGTTATTACGGGAACAATTTCATTTTTATTTTACATCGGGTTGTCCAGACATTTAAAACACGTATATATATGTATGTTAGTGCAACATTGATCTGGAACTTCACCTCTGACGATTTTGATTTTTACGGACATGCTCAATTCTTAAAAATTCAACGCTTAAAAATAAAATCATCCCATTTCAACAGAAATTTGTTAAAATTTACAGCAGTAAAAATTACCCGTTATACGGTATATTGATGCATGCATATACAAAAATCTAATATATCGTTTGCATTGCGATCCATTAATTTGTTGTTAATGACTGTCAATTTGGCCCTTAAATGTAATAAGTATCTTTGGTGTACATTTTATCATTAGCAGTTAACATGTTGGTAGATTAATTATAAAACAATATCATAAAATAGAAACAAGTTGCAGTAGCCTGAGTAGGTGGTTTTACAAGCTCGGCCCGGTTTTACACCACAAACAAAAATTTCATTGAAAAGGCTACATTCAATAATATACCTGGTATCTGAATATAAAGTGATGAAAATGCAATCAAATAAATGACTGCAATGCACCAAAGAAAAAAATCTCTGGTTTCCTTGATGCTTGTCATGTTAATAAAACCCTTAGGAAAGCAGCATCAGCAAGTGCCCTGGAACACACTACCGGATATTATTCCGAGCAACTGTAGTCCCACTATAAACACAGAGCTCAAGTATCTTTGAACCAAGAAATATCCAAATTGTTGATTCTTAATGTCAATGTTAACAATTTTAATTCAGGTCAATATTTATTTGAAGAAAAACAAAGGATTTTAAAGGAAATTGAAAATGTAGAAATTTGGTGGAAGGATATTTTTCATTATTCCTAATTTGATTGGTTAAAATGAATCGGAGTAAGCCAATGATTAGAACTTTTATGGGAAATACTAAAGACCTGACCTACTAAAGACCTGACTGACCTGACCAACATAAAATTCGTCAAATATCACTATTTTAAGATCAATTATCATATTTTTCAGGATATTTTCTTGATACTAATATGAAATTAAGTTAAATAAATACTAATATACACATTTTTACCATATTTATTGTTATTTATCCGTTCATTTCATGGAAATGTAATGACCTGACCAAATATGAATTGACCTGACCAAAACCAAAATCATCAATACTGGTTACATTTTTTAAATATTTTGATATGTTTAAAAAGATTTTCTTGATTATAAAGGTTAATACTTTAGGTAAAATGATTTTAGAAACATTTTTTGCCTCAATTATTAGTTTATATCATTGAATTTTAATGACCTGACCGAATATGAAATGACCTGACCGAATATGAAATGACCTGACCAAAACCAAAATCACTTAAAATCTTTATCTTTCTTTAAATATTTCATACTTTATGTTTATATCATAATCAATTGTATGATATTATATAATTATAATTAAACACTTCAGACATGAAAACACACATTTATGAACTTTAATATGAACTAGTACAGAAAAAATTGCATTGACCTGACCAAGCAAACTGTCTGAATTTATATACATTTATGTGAATTTTCACAAACTATAATTAAAGAATTAAATACTCATGAAATTTAAAAATTATACTAAATCTTTCTTTTAAGCATTTGAAAAAATATTAGTGAAATTACAACAATATATTGCAATGACCTGACTGCATGGCCATGTCCAATGCTATAGACCTGACCGACTCTACCTACTAAAGACCTGACCAACCACGTGTCTATATGAATGACCTGACCGACCATTTCTACTAAAGACCTGACCAACCATGTCTGTATACCTGTACTAAAGACCTGACACTAAGTGGGAATAAACCGACACTATAATTTTATTCAAATTATATCTATTTTTTTTTAATTTTGCATTTATGAGTGCAATAATCGAAATTATTGAGTATATAAGATTCAGTATTATGTATAAGATAATTAAAGCAGCTATTTAATATTTAGATACATGTATTTTATATATTACACTTTACTAGTAAATATTATTTTTATCTTTTTTCACATCGTCCAATGTTTTAAAAATTTGGATTATTAAGATTAAATCTGTGTCATGTAAAGATATATATATACTACTGTAGTTGTAACCTTTATGCAGACAAACGAATTATAAACATTGTTATTTAATTTAAACATGTTACATGTATTTAGGCTGTGATATCTGTGTATTAATTTATGGGGTTTTTTTTAACTTATGAAAGAATCAAAAATACATATCATATTTTTTTTTCTCAAAAATTCAGATTAAAAATGATGAAATTAAAACTGTTGAATTTTACAATTTCTATGGTAAAAGTATTTGATTTAATCCTTCTTTCTTTAATAATTCTTGGTTATTTTATTTTAATTTAATTTAAATATAACATTCATGCAGAAATCTTTTCTAAAAAACTGATAAAATGAAATGGATTAACTACTGTTTCCCAGTTTACATTGTTGATTCCAATGTTACTGTGATAGAAGTGTCAAAAGGGGCACTGACCTATGTTGTTTGTTTAACCATTACCTCTCAATATCCCTTGTGTATACTGCTTGTATAATACTAGTAAACATTAAACTTCATTATACTGATTAAAATGGGGTTATTAAAATTAAATTATCTTTTGAAATATTTTTTTTCCATCAAACAAATAAAGCAAAATAAAACAAAAACAAAAAAATGACCAAGTTTATAAAGAAATTGTAGATTTAAACAAGTGTTCATTGTTGAAAATGTTAAATGTAATGTTAAACAATTATCATGATTATAGATCAAGCTTTTAAAAAGCTTATTAAAATAAAAATTTCATGATCAGAGATCTATATAATAGTAGGTCAAAGTATATTTCTTTAAAGTAATGATCTTAAAAAGATAATATTTTTGTTCAACTAAAAAAAAAATCATATGCTCAAATCAAATTCTTTCTTTAGGTTAGTTTGTTACATCAGTCAGATCAAGATCTTTGTTAAATATTCAATATTTAAAGAATCGTGTTAAACTGGTCAGGACTTAATGCCGTTCAGGCCATACAGTGTATGTTTTATAGACTAGAATTCAAAATATATATGATAAAATTATACATTTTTATTGTTATAACCTTTTAAATATCTTATTATATTAAATGCACTGATTCAAATATGAAATATGATCAGTCAGGACATTATACAGTAAATCTACATTAATTGTCAGGACAATTGATTTTAACACCTCTATAAAAAAGAATAATTTCATTTCAGTTGATAACAATTTACGTTTTTAGTTTAGAGAAATATATAAAGTTATTTTCAAAATAGTTGGGCCTTTAGCTGTTTAGTAGAAATAATCGGTCGAGTCTGAAGTATAGACATGGTTGCATGGCCAGGTCTTTACTTCAGAAATGATCGGTGAGGTCTTTGGTAGAAATGGTCAGTCAGGTCAACGAGGTTATTCATATCAAGACAATCATATGGTTAATATAATATTCAAAAAAAGATAGCTATCATTAATGATTTCTATTTGGTCAGGTCATTTCATATTTGGTCAGGTCATTTCTTTAATTATATTTGGTCAGGTCATTAAATTTAAATTTCATGATCATGATGATATACTGGGAAAACTGTTTCTAGAAGCATTTAAATTTTACCAAAAGTAATAAACATCATAATGAAGAATATTTTCTAAAATGTATCTTATATCAAAAAAAATAGCTATTATCAATGGTTTTTTATTCGGTCAGGCCATTTCATTTTTGGTCAGGTCATTTCATATTACCGGTCAGGTCATTAAAATTCCTTGTTATAAACTAATAATTGAGGTAAAAAATGATTCTAAAACAATTTTATCCAAAGTTTTAGCCATTATAATGAGGATAAGTCTGTAAAACTTATCAAATATTTAAAAGATATAACTATTATTGATGATTTTGGTTTTGGTCAGGTCAATTCATATTTGGTCAGGTCATTTCATATTAGGTCAGGTCATTAAAATTCCATGATATAAAATAACACTTGAGGTAAAAATGATTCTAAAACCATTTTATCCAAAGCATTAACTATTACAATGAAGACAATTTTTAAAAACTTATCAAATATTTAAAAAATATAACTATTATTGATGATTCTGGTTTTGGTCAGGTCAATTCATATTTGGTCAGGTCATTACATTTCCATGAAATGAACAGATAAATAACAACAAATATGGTGAAAATGTGTATATTAATAATTATTTAACTTAATTTTATATTGTTATCAAGAAAATATTCTAAAAAATATGATAATTGGTCTTATAATAGTGATTTTGACGAATTTTATGTTGGTCAGGTCAGTCAGGTCTTTAGTAGGTCAGGTCTTTAGTATCTCCCAACTTTTATAGAAAGTAGACGGCGAACCCAGAAAGCGGGAATATAAACGTTGAAAATGACAACATTGATGATTTCATCTGTAATTATTTTATAAGAAGGCTTTATGGTATAGTAATTATAAAATTTCACCTGTGTCAGATTCATTGTTGTATGTAAAATCACCTATATGTTTTTTGTAGTCTCTGTACGCTATTGTAAAATGGTGATGAGATTCAAATAAATGATTGATTGATTGATTGATTGATTGATTCATAACTGCTCTTGACTAAAATTTCATGGTGTTATGACTTGCTGAATATCTCAAATTATTATCAATATCTAGTGTCTATTTGTGACACCTCGACCTTGAATGTTTGTAAACACACGTGAATTTGACCTGTCATTCTTATATTTTTGTATCTTAAACTTGTAGATTTAGAGTAACGGATTCAACTCTTAACTCATATAACACGTGATTTAATATAGGTTAAATTATGATTTATAACACAACAGATAATAAACATGCAGCTAAGGGCCTTGGGTCACCTAGAGAGAACATTTGCCACTTGGATTGCTAAAACTTTTCTTAAAATTAATCATTCAAATAACTCCAGATCTGTAGTTGGCTGATCTGAAAAAAATTAGGATGGAGGTGCAGTGAGCTACAGTGCTACCCTTTGAAAAAATGTGTATATTTATTATGACAAAAAATGTTCTAATTCTTGAAAAAAATAATTTCTATTTAAAAACATTACTAACCATGTGTTTCTAATTTTTTTTTTTTTTACTAATTCCATAACAAAACTGCTTGTACAAGTCATGCATGAAGTGCACAGGGCCAAATTAACTTAATTGCCATCTATTGGCATCTAATATGATCATGATCATAATAGATGCCAATAGATGGCAAATTAATTTGGTCTGAAATTTGGACTGAAATTGAGACCATCAAAAATTTCGCCTATTTATACTATTGTATTAAGGAAGAGTGTTTCACGCTAAATAGGCGAAATTTTTGATGGTCTCAATTTCAGTTCCAAAAGTGCTATAACAAACAGTTTTGGTAAATTTTCATTGTGGAAAGTAGTAAAAGAATAAGCTTGGAACATATGGTTTGTAAAATTTTGAGATGCAGAATGAATGCATGAATGGAGAATTAAGAAACAGCACACCTTTTATGTACAATAAATATACACATTTTTCAATGTTTATGTGGCACTGTAGTTCTCAGGTCGTCCAGTCTAACTTTTTCAGAATAGTAAGCTATAGATCTGCAGCTACCATCCAAAATGCTCTTGGACAATTGTCAAGGACAGAAAGTCAAAAATGTATTGGAAAACAAAGATTTACATACCATTAAAACTAACTGATAATTATAAAAATGGAGAGAAAAAAAACAATTTAGAAAACCTGAGTCCTGGAACTTGTATAAAAAAAATCTTAGAAAGAACCCTAAAATGAGAGCATCCAGTATAGTTTTTTTAGGGTAAACTTTGTGTGTTTGGCAGTGCATATGATTTTGGATGAGAAAAAGGTACAAGTTTAAAAAATAAAGGAACACTCAATTCAACAGATTATATTTGCAGATCTAGGCTCATCATGGGCTCATCACATACTCAAGATGAGCTTGAGTCGAGGTTTGCCAACCTGCTGCAGCCTATCCGAGACCTCACCAAGAACTGGGATGTAGACATCGCATCATCACTGGAGGACTACCTTGAAGAGGTACCTATTCAATGATTTATTTGAGATATAAATTGTGTGCAGGTTTCTTTAGATAGTCTTGTTACTTTGAGCCTCAGCCTTTCCATTAGGGAAAAATAGCAACATTTACTTAAAATTGAGAAAAAAGTTTCAAAGCAGAAGGAAGAAAAACCCAAAGGAGGGTCCGATGGACTCTCTTTGACTGTCAATATATAAAGAATAGATTTACGGAAAAATATTGAGCCAAAAATTGTAATCTGGGGGCCTGAGGAGGTGACATGAAGAATAAAGACATTCTGCTTTGACATTTACAGGACCGTATATACACACCTATAAGTCAGTTGTATTTTTGAAGCTTATGTTAGAAAGATTGACCTTTTAAAATACCATTTTTTTTGTATCTTGCTTATAAGTCTGATATAGAGTTTTGGACCAAAGTTTAACTCCAAAAAATCCGACTTATACCGGTAGGCGAGTACATGTATATACGGAATTCATTTTCTTATTGTAATACAATATTATAAAGATAGCTGCTTTAAGCATGGGAATGGGTCCTTGTTTTGGCCCCATGTCTGAGACTTGTGAAATCTGTTTCTCTGTAAAATTTAACCTATATTTTCATTCCTATTTATTATTTTCCATTTTTTTACTGTGCAAATCGTCAAATGATTCGTTTTAGTACTGAACTTGTTTCTGATAATCTATAGCTTGGCAACATAGTGATAACTTTTGATGGAGGGATTACTACAATGAATTTTGCTGAAGCAGCAATGCTGATTCAAGGCTCTGTGTGTGTATATAGTAAAAAGGTATGTATGTTTATTTGTAATAAATGAATGATATAAAGATACGTCTCATGTAACTGAAACTTTTATAAAATACTGTGAATTGGATTCTTTTTGAGAAATAAAGTTATAGATTCATCATTGAAATCTTAATAAATGCACTAATAATGTACCAAAATTAAATCAAACATTATGCTTACTTACAGGTTGAATATCTCTACACCTTGGTGTATCAAGTTCTGGACTTGCTGGCAAGTAAAAAGTAATTCTGTTTCGATTTTAATATCAAGTCAACAAGTAGATTAATGTAGATTTATGTACCGTAATTTTCGGGTTATAGGTCGATACTTTTTTTCTCAGAACCGCTGGGGTCGCCCAATATACGAATTCGACCTTTCTTAGGCTCAAGTTTACGAAAAATGCCCCAAAATCAATAAAATTTACGTAAATTTCAGAGCAAATCTGTGCCACTTTTATAACTTTTTTCATTATTTTATGCAGAAAAATTAATGCCTAGGTAAACAATAAAATATTTATTCTATAGCTTTCTTACAAAATAAATTCCATTAAATATCCGTTGATGACAAAGGAAAAAACTGTGCTTCATCAAGTTAATAATTCCTCAACGTGTTATCCATTGCCATCATGCGGTAGCCATCTTGTGAAGTTAGGAAGTCGCTATCGTTTACTAAAAGTAAAACCGCAACTGTACCAAAATTTGAAATACGGAAAAATTTTCAAGATCACAAGTGTAGTGTTTTACCATTAATTAGTAGATTGATAAATTGAAATAGTATTAATTTTTTTATTGTAAAAGTCTTATATTTATTTTAATGTAAAATGAGTGAAATAAATTGTTGCCAGTCAATTCCTAAAAATCGTTTTGAAAGATAGTTTGAAGTTTTACAAGCAATTATGGAAATATACATGCGGATGATAAAAAATTAATTTTATTGATATGGAGTTTTACAAGCAAAGAATTAGTAATAAATGCAGGTTACAGAAATATGTTTAAGACAGAAATATAATTTTAACTAATATAATAAGGTTTATCAAAAGCTTCTTCGTACACAAGAAGTACACTGAATTACCGCTATACAAAGATTGGCTTCTAACGAATTTTAATTGTCTGACAGATAAAAGGATTTACACTGTGTGTACACGCAAAGGTTTCAACACCTGTGTTGGTTTAATACCCGCAGGGCATGATTAGCAAATCCACGTGCCGTTATAGGGTATTAGTGTTACACATCATTGAATAAACAAAGCCATGAAATTCATAATGACTGTCAAATTGTGGATGTACCGGTACTCTCAATTAAATTTATAAATTAAACTTTCAGCGTGGTAATATTATTTCAATTCTTTACTGTTGCTTTATATATACATTCAATGGTCGTTTGCGGGTTTTAGCAAATCCCTGAAGAAGAAAAATGAAAATGGCGGACATCGAAGCAATTGTCGTCCACCGGTAAATAACTAACTGAATAAACTATATTAGGAATGTGTCCAAGTTGTTCTGAAATCAGAATTATTATTCTTTGATCTCGGGTATTTCCCGAATTATAGCTTAAAATAAGAAATGTATTTACGTGTTATTTTTGCCTCTGGTTTAACAACAGTATGAAACTACGGAGGCATTGAACAGGCAAGTTGGAGAAAAAAAAGTAGTAACACAATTCAAAGAAGTTTTAACTACATTTTTTAAAAAACTTTATTTAAATGCTGTACTCATTAAAATACCTGTTTGTTTTCTTGATACGTTCATGTCACGGAATTGCCCCGGTAATTTTAGAGGTTTACCTGTTCTGATACGTTGTATCTGCGTGAGAATCTTTAGAAAACGGGAAACAAAGCCTCGTCCTATATAGTAAGTTCGTCCTATCTTAGGATTTTTCAAAAATTAAGGCTGAAAATGAGCCTTTCGACCTATATACCCCATCGACCTATAACCCGAAAATTACGGTAATGCACAAAACTCACTTTCAACTCATTTAAAAACAAAGAGTGTATGATACACACTCCAAAAAATATGAAAAAAAATGATGCAAAGTAGTTTTTCTGCGAAATCTGTAAAAATTGACTGTCATTTGTTAGACATTCAAAAGAAATTTCTAAACATGCTAAAAGAACAGATTTTACTGCAATGACCATTGAGTCTCATAAATGTCAACTTACTATCACACAAATAATGATGATTTAAAAGGCATTTTATAACTTTATTGCTGTATAATTGATGTTATACAAATAAGCAACAGCTGATTCCAGTAAGATTTATTCTTACAGAAAACAGAATAAACAGGCATCAGCTGAAGGAAATGATGATGAGGATTCTGGGTTTGACAAAAATGAAGATGATGAGGTTATTCTTACCAAATACTAATAACATAGTTGTACATAAGTGAAGGTGCTTCACATTGTTCATATTGAAGATGAAGAAAAACATGCAGCTCTCTTAAATTTTACAAAATAAATAGTTTGTGAACAGTTTTTTCCCCTTACAATTAAAGGAGGTTAATGTTTTTTTAACACACTGTAATCTTAATTTGATCAGTTTCTGAGCCTGGACGATATTAAAGAACACAAGAGTATTGTGCTGAAAGAAGACGAATATGGAAATAAGGTTTGTTAGTTGTGTTTAGTGTACACAACTGTAAAAGCACTTCTTCAAACATCTTTTGTAATTTTTTTTTAATTTTACTGTCATGGTTACAAGATTTTAAATTTTTGTTTTTCACTTATTTTGCAATGTATAATTGTTAACAATGACAAGAATAATTTATTTTAAAAAGGTGAAAACAAAGCAAGACTCATGTGTACGGGATATAATTTTGTGTTTTTTAGAATGTGATGCCAATACCTCAGATGCCACTGTCATTGATTCCTCTGGAGGAAGGAGAAAAAGGAGCTAATCCTCTACTAAGGTATTGTAAGGCCATAGAAAATTAATTTCTTGGTTCTCAGGCCCTCCCTCATCCCTTCCAAGGGTGCGTCATTGACCCTTTTTATTGCTAAATCAATAAAATAAAAACAACAAATCACCCCCTCCTCATTTTTTGAGGTTTTGTGCAATGTAAAAAGCTGTCTCATCATTATTTGGGGGCAATAAAAAAGAAGAAAAAATGCCTCCTTCCTTCATATTCCTTGAAAAAAGGTCTGAGAAGCAAGGAATTAACTTTGCATGGTATAAGATCAGTAGATGGAAAAGGGAGCTTACCCTCTACTAAGGTATTGTAACATATGATCAGTAGATAGAAAAGGGAGCTAACCCTCTACTAAGGTATAGTGAAGCGTAATCAGCAGATTCCTAAGATAGTAAAGGGAAATATCCTTTACTTATATACTGTAAAGTATGATCAGGTTAAAAAAAATAATTTTGTTGTGCTTGAAATTTATCATCCTGAATTCTTTGTTTCTTATTTCAGTAAGAAGGGGGAGGTCCTGGCCAGCAGAAATGACTTTAAGATGAACACTTGTTCTGTTCATCAGAGTGGCACGCTGCTCCTAGACATGTCTCACATGGCTCTACTTGAGAAGACATTATCAGACTGCATCTCCCTACAAGGTATACATGTAGTTTTAACTTTTGTTTTAATCTAATTGTATTTTACATGGTAATAGCAATTTAGACATTGTTATACATTGTTTGTAATATTTGGGGAGGGTGTGCTTCCAAGTATTATTTTTGGCCATACTGCATTTATCTTGTTATCTTCAGTGGTTTCTTGTTATACACTCTTGTATGTTTGTTTTACACAAGGTGGCTCGTTAAACACAATACAGGAGGAGAGCACAGAACAATGTACACAGGGAATGATGGGAAGAGACAATGTAGAGGAAGTGGAAACCAATGACCTCCCACCACCAGATGTCACTAGTAAGTAGACATAAAAAACAAACCTCTAGATATCGCTAGTAAATACCTAGAATGAGCAATCATAAGGCACCAGAATCATGAGGACTCTGTAAAACCAGCAGATAATTCAAGTAATAAACAAATAAGAAAACTGCCGAAATACCATATTTACGAAAGATATTTTCTACTATTTCAGTGGGTGACAATGCAGGAGATGAGGCAGAACCTTTCGAGCCGGCTCCAATGGAGGATGAGGTGGACGGAGCTGTACCTCCCAACAACAGAGAGGTAATCTATCGGTTTTCTTCTCAAGAAAGAACTCTTAATTACAAATTATGTATTATTTGTGTCCAGAAAATATTCATCTCTTGTCAGATAGAATTATTTCAGAAAAAAGACATGTAATCTGTTGTAAAAGAATTCTTCCTCATTTTTAAAATTAATCAATGTTGGATATATACCAGTAGACATAACATGTACATGTATAATTTATGTTTGACAGAGTCTAGATGCACAGATTCTCAGGAGATCTGAAAGAAAAAGAGTGCAAATTGTTCCCCCCAAACCTGTAAGTTCATTGTAAACATAAAGGTGTTTGATGCGACATGCAATTCAAGGATCAACCTAGGGGGCGACTGAGGCGAAATAGTCGCTTTTGGGCGCCAAACTTGGCCGTAATTGATCATGAAAGCGAAGTTTAAGTCGCCTTAACATTTGCAAACCCTTTATTGAAAATCATAAAAAATCTATTAAGAAACATGGTAGAATCCTCAGTAGTTTATAAATCTTATTTTATTACTGCTGAACTAAACGAAACAGCAGGACACTTGCACCTGTTTGGCTACCAATGACCCATGGATCGAATACTCTGTCGGAACTCCTCTAGATTTTATGCTTCCGGGTATGAAAAAGTCCATTGTTACAAGTTATGCACAACCAGACGCAAAACAGCTGGTCAGCTATCGATGTCATGCCAAAGATGTTAAAGATGATTTTAGATCTTTTTATTGCCAAATAATTAATTCATGCTGTGAATACAGACATATTTTTACTGTTAATTTGTGGAGTTAGGCCATAATAAATAAATTGCTAGATTCTCATCCGAATTTTTTTAAAAATGCTTTTATTTTATATTTTTTATTTTTTCAGTTTTGTAGATTTTTTATTGACCTGGTCAATCGGTGTAAATCTACATGCCCGAATAAAAGTCATAGTAAAGATTCAATTATCTCTTACTTACACCGATCTTTTTCAACATGACCCCTGTTTAAAATATATACATGTATTACAGCAATTACCGTCTTTTCAGCTGTCAAAATCATGTCAACTTTCGCGGGATTTAAAAGATGAATACCGATCCCGATCAGAATTAAGACGAAGAAAAACAGAAATTAAAAAAAATCGTAACGAGACTAAAAAAATCGAGGCGGTGGTATAAAATCGGGGCGGGCGGGGATGAGAATCTAGGAATATTTTTATTATGGCCTTATTGACCGTCTAACAGATTACACATCTGATATACAGAGTTCAATCAGCATGCGTACGTAGTACAGTGAAGTCGCCAATTCCGGGTCGTTTCAAATTCTAGGTCACTCGTGTGTATTTTATGCCATATTGTTAAAATTTAAGCGCAAAAAACTTAATGAATACGCTGGTCATGAAGAACTGGTCTTTCTGTATGTAATTAATTACAAAATTTTGAATATCAACTTTAAAAGAGCATCCGACAATCGAAATTCTGAAACGCACGCATTAAAGACTTGGATGTTTCTGCTGCGGTGACGGGCTACTTTCGTTTTTGTTCGCTGCAGAAAGACTGATATAAAAGTTCTAGATAAATAATAAGAGCTAGAAAGTATGGCAAATGCATTTAGTTTTAACTCAGAAATCAATCATAATGATCGCTGCTCAAATAAAATTATAATGATTATTAAATCAAACTGTAGTAGTTTCTCCAATTGCGGGTCACGCAATCTCGTGGCATGAACATGTCAAAATTCTATGTACAAAACCAATCGACAACCATGTATTTACATTAATTATCAAAAGTATTCTAACTGGAAAATATTTGTTCTAGAAATTAAAATCGAGTTAACCCTTCAAATGCATTTTTTAAATAAATGAATTTAATTGTAATATTTTTAATCCTAATACATTTTTTAAATTCTGCATACTGCAATTTGTTTTGTTGTAATTGTTTTAAAAATAATTTCTGTGGTTGTTTTAGTTCTTTCCAAGCTGCATGAATTGTTTTATGTTTCAACATCATAAAAATCGAGTTCCGAAACGTTCCATGAATATTACACGATCATGAAGTCACATGACCTGGAAATGGAGAAAATGATTCTTAACTGGGGAAGCTAGGCCTTGCTGAAATACCCCTGTAAATATTGGTCCCGTGTACTACTTTGAAAACAAAAAAGTGTTTGGATGACTCACTATTTGTTCTTTCAATACATGTTTTGCATAAAATATAAATTGAACAGATTTGCAAAATATCAACGAAACACCCTGACGTGACCCGGGCGACTTCACTGTACCTTGTAATTGGAAAAAAATTCAGATTCCTTTTGTCTTTTTTAAATATTTTTACTAGGATGTCAATACAGAAAAATTATTGAAATGTATTTTAAGTTATAAACAAAGAAATAGTTTCATTTTAGAAAAGTTTTATAATGATCAGTGGGCGTCACGTGCGCCAAGAAGTCTCCCTAAATTTCAAAACTTCTCCCTAAATTTCTCTGAAGGAGAAGTGAAGTCTCCCTAAATTTTGGGTCTAGGTTGGTCCCTGGTAATTCATGAAATACTTGTATTATGGGTTCCCTTTAATTCTCTCTGTACAGGTAATTGATCATTGGAAGATGATAGATCCACATGACCCCGGCAATGTAACAGAGCGCACCACAAAGAGAGGTAAAATTAATGTTGTTTTGGTAAAATATTTTGAACAGAAAGCAGATTTATTACAAGAGATCTCGTCTTCTCATTTAATGCTTTTACTATTTTATTTAAACTTCCTAAAATTTTTATTTTTCAGGAAAGACTTTTAAGATCCCAGACAATGTAGATGACAGTTTGACAAACAAGAGGAAGAGAAAAAAGAAGCCTGAGATAAAGAAGTTGTGTCCCCTTACTCAGTTTGTCTGTCAGACATGTATGTAGCTGTAGTTTAAGCTAAAGTTACTCATAATAAAGGAATTGTTCATTTTCATGCTCAGTTAGATAATAGTAAATATATTTATGTAGAAGTAAAAATTATAATAATTTACGATTTTTTTTTCTTCCATTATAAAATAATATTTTTTAAATATTATCAATTTCAGATTTGTATTGTACATTCATATATGCTCTGTTCATGTAGTGATGGTAGTTAAAAAAAAATTATATACAATTTCACTGTAGTCACTAATGTGGAAAAATATCCAAAGAATCCCTTGAAAACTGTGTCCTTTCCTGAACTTGATAAACCTTTCTGGGAGGAATACAAAAGAAGGCAAGCTCTGTCAAGGAAAGAAAATAAAGCAAAGGTACTCAACCAGAGCATGGAATAAAATATTGCTTTGTCATTTCTAAGAATATTTTAAGCTTGCATGTTTTTTTTTTCTTCCCTTGCAATGGAGTTGGAGGGAATATAGTAAGATGCTTGTGTGCAATGTTTTTGTGTTAATTTATCATGTTTATAGTTAGTTAGAATTTGACTAATTTGCATCAGGATTGATGTCAAATTCTGTCTAGATTTATAGATATGATCTTTGCGAGAGGAACTGCTTTAAGATGCCACTGTTTTCCCTTATGATGATATCCAGAATTCTGTTGTATAAAAGATTTTAACTTTCCCTTTATATGTACATTTAACTTTATCAATTATTTTTTTTTAGCAGTTTGCTTATGTAGAGGAAGAAAATGAAGATGAAAAGGTGGAACAAGAAGGCATGTACATTTAATATACATGTATTAAATCTCTGAATGTAACAGTGAAGATAAATATTCACAAGTATCATATATTTATACTACATATTCTTTGTTCATTGCAATGTGATTTTTTATACCCCCGCAAACGAAGTTTAGGGGGGTATATTGGAATCAGCATGTCTGTCTGTCTGTCCGTCCGTCTGTAGACAAGATTTTGTCCGGACCGTTTCTCAGAAACTATTGGATGGATTTGTCTGAAAATTTGTACACTTATTCACCATATGAAGTTGTGCACCTGGTATTTTCATCATGATTGGGTAATTTTTCTGCATTTTACAGGTGTTTTTTCTTTTTTATTTTATGGTTTTGTTTGGCTCATAACTAGAAAACTATTAGACTGACAATCATCAAACTTGGACAGTTTATGCATCTTGGGTAGAAGGTGTGTCATGACCTATTTTAAGGTCACCGTGACCTTTAATTTAAGTGAAATTTTAAAAAGAAACCTGTCTTTTACTATTGAATTACACAATCCCAAAAATGTAAGAGTGTTTCTGTATCCCTGTTTAAAAAATGTTAAATTTAAATAAGAAAATAATATTTTTTCATTATATACTTTACAGCAATCCATATCAAATGTTATTTTATAAGAGATAATCTACCTCTCCCAAGGGTATAATTATCAAGCACCGGTCAAGGAGAATTTTGATAACAGAAAATTGCATCCCTTGGCATTTATCAATGGACTTGCATCCAGTCAAAGATTAATTAATGAGTTCAATGTAGGAAAGCTAGCTGTCTCAATCATTTATGTTAGCTTTTATCTCTGATTAAGGTCCTTTGGGAATTAGACAGAGGAACTGCTGGTCAGTTTAAATAGCATATGTCATTTGATGGCCAGCCTTCTATTTCTAAAATCAATTTGTTATAGATTAAGTTTTTAATACTAATTAGTTAAATTGATATATTTAAAAAAAAATTAAAATATCAAGTAACAAATTTCAGAGCATCATGTCCCACATGAAAAATATGCCTATGTGTGTGTTTGTGGGGGAGGAGCATTTGTCAAGCTATAATGCAACCATTTGATGATTATTTGTTATAATTAATGCTTACACCACAGGAGATGTTTAAACAAATATTAAAAGGAATAAAAAAAAAATTATGGAAATCCTTTTAAGGGTTGCCATGATTTCCTCACACTCTAAACTGTTAATATTAATTGAATGAACAATATTTAGCTCTACTGGTCAGAGACCAGAAGAGCTTATGCAATAGTAATGCGTCCGGCGTCCGTCCGTCTGTCTGTCTGTCTGTCTGTAAACAATTTTACAAAATGCTACTCCTCCTACAGATTTGGTTCGATTTCAATATAACTTGGCACACAAGTAGACTACACTAAGATACATATTTCTGTGCATCGGTTTTTGATTTTGATGAACGGTGTTACCACGGTTACTAAAAATAGAAATTTCTGTGAAATTCTTTCAAAATGCTACTCCTCCTACAGATTTGATTCGATTTCAATATAATTTAGCTCACACGTAGACTACACTAAGATACATAATTCTGTGCATCGGTTTTTGATTTCGATGAACGATGTTGCCATGGTTACTAAAAATTGAAATTTCTTTGAAATTCTTTCAAAATGCTACTCCTCCTACAGTTTTGGTTCGATTTCAATATAATTTGGCACACAAGTAGACTACACTAAGATACATAATTCTGTGCATTAGTTTTTGATTTCGATGAACGATGTTGTCATGGCTACTAAAAATAAAAATTTCTGTGAGATTCTTTCAAAATGCTACTCCTCCTAGAGATTTGGTTCGATTTCAATATAACTTGGCACACAAGTAGATTACACTAAGATACATAATTCTGTGCATCGGTTTTTGATTTCGATTAAGAGTGTTGCCATGGTTACTAAAAATAGTAATTTCTGTGAAATTCTTTCAAAATGCTACTCCTCCTACAGATTTGGTTCAATTTCAATATAACTTGGCACACAAGTAGACTACGCTAAGATACATAATTTTGTGCATCGATTTTTGATTTCGATTAAGAGTGTTGCCATGGTTACTAAAAATAGAAATTTCTGTGAAATTCTTTCAAAATGCTACTCCTCCTACAGATTTGGTTCAATCTCAATATAACTTGGCACACAAGTAGACTACACTAAGATACATAATTCTGTGCATTGGTTTTTGATTTCGATGAAGAGTGTTGCCATGGTTACTAAAAATAGAAATTTCTTTGAAATTTTTTCAAAGTGCTACTCCTCCTACAGTTTTGGTCTGATTTCAATTTACTTGGCACACAAGTAGACTACACTAAGATACATAATTCTGTGCATTGGTTTTTTGATTTCGATGAAGGGTGTTGCCATGGTTTCTAAAAATAGAAATTTCTTTGAAATTCTTTCAAAATGCTTCTTCTAGAGATTTGGTTGGCACACAAGTAGATTACACTAAGATACATAATTCTGTGCATCGGTTTTTGATTTCGATGAACGGTATTGCCATAGTTACTAAAAATAGAAATTTCTTTGAAATTCTTTCAAAATGCTACTCCTCCTACAGTTTTGGTCCGATTTCAATGTAAATTGGCACACAAGTAGACTACACTAAGATACATACTTCTGTGCATTGGTTTTTTGATTTCGATGAAGGGTGTTGCCATGGTTTCTAAAAATAGAAATTTCTTTGAAATTTTTTCAAAATGCTACTCTTCCTTTAGTTTTGGTCTGATTTCAATTTTACTTGGAACACAAGTAGACTACACTAAGATACATAATTCTGTGCATCGGTTTTTGCTTTGATGAGTGGCAAGGATCATTTTTCTATTTATTGCTGTTTTCAAGTTTCAAGTCACAACTGCTACTTTTATCTTCCTTTGTTTTAAGTATAAACCAGTAGAGCTACAGTCTCGACAGAGACTTCTGGTTTTATCATACTGTGGTGGGGCACTTTATTATTTTAAAAATGAATTTGATATAAAGTTATAAAGATTAATTTGATTTTGTATAATATTTCTTTTTTCAACAATTATTTATCAGAGTAGCATGACAAATAATTGCAATTTGTTTTTTTAATGAAATTAAAAAAAAAAACTGTTACAGTGTATTAGTATTGATGTTTTATTTGGTTGCACCTTAGATTCATAAATTGAAAAAAATTAATGAGCATGCAATTATATTTTCACCCGATTTGTTTTAAGACAATAGTGAACACCTCTTAGTAGATCCATAAAATATTTGTGAATTAGCACCTACTCTGAAAAAAACACAGCGGGGGTATTTGTCCCAATTGGACAGTTCTAGTTTTTAGCTCTACTGGTCAGAGACCAGAAGAGCTTATGCGATAGTAATGCGTCCGTCGTCCGTCCGTCTGTCTGTCTGTCTGTCTGTCCGTCTGTAAACAATTTTTCAAAATGCTACTCCTCCTACAGTTTTGGTCTGATTTCAATATAACTTGGCACACAAGTAAACTACACTAAGATACATAATTCTGTGTATCGGTTTTTGATTTCGATGAACGGTGTTGCCGTGGTTACTAAAATAGAAATTTGTGTGAAATTCTTTCAAAATGCTACTCCTCCTACAGTTTTAGTCTGATTTCAATATAACTTGGCACACAAGTAGACTACACTAAGATACATAATTCTCTATATCGGTTTTTGATTTCGATGAACGGTGTTGCCGTGGTTACTAAAAATAGAAATTTCTGTGAAATTCTTTCAAAATGCTACTCCTCCTACAGTTTTAGTCTGATTTCAATATAACTTGGCACACAAGTAGACTACACTAAGATACACAATTCTGTATATCGGTTTTTGATTTCGATGAACGGTGTTGCCGTGGTTACTAAAAATAGAAATTTCTGTGAAATTCTTTCAAAATGCTACTCCTCCTACAGTTTTAGTTCAATATAACTTGGCACACAAGTAGACTACACTAAGATACACAATTCTGTATATCGGTTTTTGATTTCGATGAACGGTGTTGCCGTGGTTACTAAAAATAGAAATTTCTGTGAAATTCTTTCAAAATGCTACTCCTTCTACAGTTTTAGTCTGATTTCAGTATAACTTGGCACACAAGTAATCTACAATAAGATACATAATTCTGTGTATCGGTTTTTGATTTCGATGAACGGTGTTGCCGTGGTTACTAAAAATAGAAATTTCTGTGAAATTCTTTCAAAATGCTACTCCAAATACAATTTTAGTCTGATTATAATATAAATGTGGCATGCAAGTAGACTGCACTAAGAACATATAGAGACTTAATCAAGGATCATTATTCTATTTATTGCTGTTGAAAAGTTTCAATTTCCAACTGCTTAAGTACTTTTCTCTTCCTTTGCTATAAGTACAAACCAGTAGAGCTTCAGTCTCGACAGAGACTTCTGGTTATTGACAGATTTTCATGAAGAAGACGATGGAGCAGCAGACATTTTATTGCCCCAGATGAATGATGAGAATTTGTTTGATGCTATAAATACAGTCGCTGATGACATGCCGTACTCTGAGTCAATGAAGAATAATGGTAGGAATTATATTTTCAAATTTTTTTTAAAAAATAAACTTTTCCTTTGCATAATTATTAGCTCACCTCAACGAAGTTGGGAGAGCTTATGTAATACCGTCAGCGTCCCAGGTTAAGGTTAACTTTTTTGGAGCAGTTCTTTTTAAGAACTTCTATGTCCTATATTGATTAGACATGCATGGAAGATGCTTCTAATGTGTTTCATTGTACCAGTCAAAGTTTCAGATGCTGCAATTTCACCAAAGGAATGACCAGGTTAATGTTTTTGGAGCAGGTTAACGTTTTTGGTGCAGTTTTTAGCTCACCTCAACGAAGCTGGGGGAGCTTATGTAATACCGTCGGCGTCCCAGGTTAAGGTTAAGTTTTTTGGAGCAGTTTTCTTTTTAAGTACTTCTATGTCCTATATTGATTAGACAAAGCATGGAAGATGCTTCTAGTGTGTTTCATTGTACCATTCATAGTTTCAGATGCTGCAATTTCAGCAAAGGAATGACCAGGTTAATGTTTTTGGAGCAGGTTAACATTTTTGGTGCAGTTTTTGGTGTAGGTCTCATTTCCAAGGAACTATAAGCCCTATGTTGACCAAACTTGCATGGATGGTACATCTAAGGATGCACATTACCAGGCTTGCTTCTGATGCTGAATCTGACCTACATTTTCCAGTTGAGTGAACAGGTTAATATTTTTGGTGCAGGTCTCATTTTCAAGTAACTATAAGCCCTATGTTGACCAAACTTGCATGGATGATACATTTTAGGATGTACACTACCAGACTTGCTTAGGATGCTGAATCTGACCTACATTTTCTGGTTGAGTGAACAGGTTAATGTTTTTGGTGCAGGTCTCATTTCCAAGTAACTATAAGCCCTATGTTGACCAAACTTGCATGGATGATACATCTAAGGATGCACATTGCCAGGCTTGCTTCGGGTGCTGAATCTGAACTGCATTTTCCGATTGAGTAAACAGGTTAATGATTTTGATGCAGGATTCATTTCCAAGATACAATGAGCCCTATAATGACCAAACTTGCATGGATGGTACATCTTAGGATGCATACTACCAGGCTTGCTTCGGATGCTGAATCTGACCTACATTTTCTGGATGAGTGAACAGGTTAAATTTTTTGGTGCAGGTTTCATTTCTAAAGTACAATGAGCCCTATACTAAACTTGCATGGATGATACATTTTAGGATGCATACTACCAGACTTGCTTCGGATGCTGAATCTGACCTACATTTTCTGGATGAGTGAACAGGTTAAAGTTTTTGATGCAGGATTTATTTCCAAGTAACTATGAGCTCTTTAATGACCAAACTTGCATGGATGATACATCTAAGGTTGCGTTCTAGCAGGCTGGCTTCAGATGCTGAATCTGACCTATATTTTTTTTGGATGAGTGAAGAGGTTAAATTTTTATGCAGGTTTCATTTCTAAGCAACCATAAGCCCAGTGTTGTGCAAACTCGCATGGATGATACATCTTAGGATGCATACTAATGGACTTGCTCCGAATGCTGAATTCGACATACTTTTTCCAGATAATGGACCAGGTAAAAGTTATGGGTGCAGGTCTATTACCAGAAAACTATAAGGCTTATATAAACCAAACTTGCCCAAATGATGCATCAAGGGATGAAAACTCTTAAACTAGCTTGCTTCAAATGCTGGATTTTGATCACATTTTCGTGATGAAGAACTACTTTGAAGTTTTTATATAGGTATATTCCAAAGTTTTAGATCAAAATTGCATAAATTTTGCATTTTTGGATGTACACTTTTTGTTGGGTAATTTTGTGACTTTGCCTTACTTAAAGACAATATTCGTTGAGGTGAGCTCTGTAATCTCTGATTTATACCTATGTTTTTGTTTTATGCATTTGGATATCCGCCCCCTTTGTTTTATTTATATCATTTATAAGCAGTGAGTGTAATAACTTTCCCTATTCCCTAAAACTAAGAGTAAAAGTGGTATTCTCTATTGAGTGGATAGATATTTGGGATTTCTCAGGAGATCTTGTACTTTGCCATTATACTCATATGCAAGAGGAGGTATCAGTACCTCTAGTTTTACTCCATTGTAAATATCACCTTGCTTTATCCTTTACAGATTTCGGTGCCACCTTTGATGATGGTTTAATAATAAATGATTATGAAGAGCTTGTCAAACATCATGTGGTAAGCTACAGTTTATAACTTTTTCCAAACAGTCAGATTGTTACAAGTAAAGTTGTAATATTTTGACACCTATTTGAATGTCTGTCCACAGGAGCAGTACCTGATCAGTGCCCAGGAGTACGCCCAGATAACAGAATTGTCCCGGCGAGTAGCAGAGTGGGAGGAGAAGGTCATTCCTAAACTGGAGGAGGAGGTGTGTTACTAAGTTTAGTGTTACCAGGCTCAGAATTCAAAGTGAAAGGCGGGCTGATATGCTCCTGTCTAAGTAAAGCTTGTTATTCTTGAACATTTGTGTATTTTCCTCCAGAAAACATTTTTAATAACACTGTATTAGATTAATTGATTGTAAGCAATCATGCATATTTATTTTTTTTTCATTAGAATTATACATGTATGTTTTTCTCTGTAGGATACACATGATCCATTTGATATCAACAAATATGGAAGCCTCCTAATAGGTTCCTTAAGTAAGGAGTCTAACACTGCATTTAAAGAGGTGGTCAAAGCCAAGAAGACATATGAAGTCTGTAGGATATTTCTAGCTTCCCTAATGCTGGTGAGAAATGATTTCTTTTTATTTGAGAGAAAACTTCTGCTATGACTTGTGTATGATATTTTTAACTCACATCAACAAAGTTTGAGGAGTTAATGTAATACCCTTAGCAATGGCATCCCAAGTTGAAATTTCTGAGTATTTTTATGCCCTATATCAATCCAAGTTGCAGTTTTTCAGTACCATTTTGGATTTGAATGCTGCACTCTTGGGGATTATCAGGTTAAGGTTTTGGGGGCAGGTAGAAAATTTTTGAGCAGGTTTAAGTTTCTGCAACATTACCCGAGTACTCTTTACTTGATAATGAATCTAGGGATTCACACCACAAGCCTTGCTTCAGATGCTGGATCTGACCTACATTTTCTGGATGAGTGTCACTGTTAACAAAAAGTTCTTGAGCAGGTTCATTCTAAAGTAACTTTAGGCCTATGCCACCCTATGTTGACCAGACTGGCATAACTCCAGACATACTTGGCATGCTGGAAATTACCTTCTTTTTCCAGATGACTGCAAAGGTTAAAAATTCTAGGAGGAGTTATCAATGCCAAGTAACTACCTGTATAGACTATTAAAATGGATGTTATGAAAAGAGTAGCAGGTTGCAGTTTGCAAATTTTGGTGGTATAAAGAATATTTTATACAACAGGAAAAATGTTACTGGGAAAATATGGCCTGACTGAAAATATGGGGATGAATTAATGCTGACAAAACTAGGAAGAAATGCAGATTACGATACTTCCTTCAGATGCATGATCTGACATTCTCCAGCCAATTAAGCAGAATTAATTGTAGAGCAGGTCCATTCCCAAGTAATTAAAAGTAAAATCAGTACAAACTTCCATAAATGTTACATCTATAGATTTACACTACCATTAAGATTTATTTAGGTGAGAGTTTGTCTCACTAGATAACTGTTGAGGTGAGATCTGAAATCTTTGATTCCCTATGGTTGAAACTAATGATATGCATGGTTTTGTTTTGACAGGCAAACACAGGGAATGTAGAAATAGTTAGGAGAGGGGAGTTAGAGAAAGGGATGGACAAGTTTGAGTTACATTTACTCTCCACTAAGAGACATTTTGAACAGCTGGAGGAATACCAGGCCCCATCTATAGCTGACAAAGGATGAGAGACTTATAGCCCACACAAAAATATCTACAAGGCAAATTTTAACTCGGACAGATTTAAAGCAGCACTGTGATCAGTTTTATGCATTTTATCTGAGAATGTAAACATGTTTCATCGGAAATTTTTTTAAATTCATGTATGCATTCGTCAGAAACTCTATAGACTAATCTAAAATTAAAATCATGAAGAAAAGGACACGGAGAGGGAAATGTGTATAATTACATTATTTAATAAAGATTGTGCACATTCCTGGTTAATGAAGCACAGAAGTCTCGTAATGTTATAAAATAAATTAAAATGGCACTGAAACAGCTACAGTGATATAATCTCTTAATTAAAACCATGAGCAAGTGTTGATGTGTTTATTTTCTTCCTTATTTGAAATTAGATTGTAAATGTGCACAAAGCAATATCAAATGAATCCAAAAGCCATATATCAGTTTATCTATTTATTTTACTTTTTGAAACAAATGACTTACAAGGAAGATATAAGCCTTTAAAACCACTGTTTATGATTGTACCGTTTGAATTAAGTCTGAACTCATTCAATTCTTGAAAAGTTGGTCCTGTTTTAATGAGTTTCCTGGTATAAAGAGTTTAGTGGCTGCTCATCTTGAATGAGCAGGAAATTTTTTTTTTCAAAGTGAATTTTGTTTGTAGCGGCATATTACAATTTGTTATATGTAGTTAAAATTATTTATTTTGATGAGATAAGCCCTTATGCTGTGTTATACATTGTATGAGTATACTTTTTATTAACTTTGCAGCATTTTACAAGGGTACCACTTATTACAAATACAAGCTAATTCAGAGAATTTGTGTCCCCTGCTGAAGGGAAAAAGAAGAGGGGGTACACCATCCATTTGTCAAGTGCCTGTGAGTGGGATGTGACATTAAATGGTGCCCCGTGTTAAAGATTACAACCCCTAAATTGGCACATTTAGAATGTTTCTGAATTTAGAAAAAAAGAGTAGGCTCACTGTGAATCACCCTTTCAAAAACCAGTCATTTTAACCAAATTTTCAGCCGAAATATATTTACGTTATTACCGACTTGGCGTTATTTAAGAAAATTGAATTCATTTTTTGAGTGTTATTGGGATGTAAAACGGGTTGGTCACGTGATCAAATCCCATAAAGCCCTGGAAGATTTGATCATGTGCCAACCCGTTTTACATCCCAACACATACTTTAAACTTGCCTGATTGTGACTTTTTGTGAAATGCATTATTTTTTCAAAAATTGTAATACCCTTTATGACGTCACAGAGAAATTACGTCGAACGTTTATCCATACGAACATCTATGACCTCTTGACTCCCTACATGTATTTATACAGTTATAAAAACGCTTGCTTTCAGTAGTGTTATATAAAGGAAAACATATATTAATATGACATCTATTAATAAATGACGCAATATATTGTCAAGTGCTTTTAATAGATGTTTATTGACGTCATTAATTGCGTCATTATGTCCATTTCCTGTAAATGGCCAAAAGTCTTTGTTATTTCTCAGAGCTATTTCTATTTTGTCAAACGTATTGTTAATACTTATCAAAATAGGTTAATTAAAAATCGGAACAAAGCGTGGTATCGAATCCCTTTTGTTCTTGCTGCAGTTACTCAAATACACCTGTTTTCTGAAACATGACAAATTCAAAAAAGCCTGTTCTCCAAAAAATAATGAATGCACTGAGGAAATTTGGCCGTGCACCTTTAACTTTATCTTGATGTTTGGTATGAAGCAAGATATGTTCTATTGATGTTCTTGCACTATAGATCTCTGAGGGAAAGATATCTTTAACAGTATTTATGCAGTTTGTCTGCTTTATTAAGACATCTCAATACGAAAAGATACTGATTTATTTTTGAGAAATTTTTGAATTTCAAGAAATATGCATAAACTTACGAAAAAGAGTGGATCATAATACTTGGTAAAGCGGTATGGAGAACGCCAGACAAACTCTCAAAGGAGATATGGCTCGGGGGGGGGGGGGGGTGTTAAAGACTGAAGATTTTCAAATTTTTACAGAAATGATCTTCTATAAAATATTTAATATATAAATTTTAACTGGACCATGCAACCAAATATGCCAGTTGTAGCATCGAAAGAAAAGCCTAATGGTGTTGCATCCCTAAATGCGTCATCCATACATTTTGGAGTGTTATCAGGCGCGTAGCATCGTTTTTGAAAGGGGGGGGGGCAGCCAGAGAAGAGATTTTTTTACTTACCTGAAAAAGTTGACAAGCAAAAAAAACAACAACAAAAAACGGAAAAAAAAGCCAAAGTTGAAAAATTTTCAGTGTCAATACTTTCAGAACCAATTCTAATACAGTGGCGTAGCATCGTTTTTGAAAGTGGGGGGGGCCAGCCAGAGAAAAATTCTTTTTACTTACCTGAAAAAAGTTGACAAGCAAAAAAAAAGGGAAAACTTGCCCAAATTCCCAAATCCTATTTCGTGGGGGGGGGGGGGGGGGGGGTGTTAAGGTAAGGTACTTTTTCTCAGTGTCAACTACTTTTAGTACAAATTCTAATACTACATTTTCGGTACACCACTTAAGGTGGGGGGGCCAACCAGGCTTTCAATTAACATTTCCTATAGTATAAGTAACGTCGGGAAAAAAAGTGGGGGGGCCAGGCCCCCCCTGGCCCCCCCAGTTGCTACGCCCCTGTAATACTACATTTTCGATACATCACTAAAAGTGGGGGGGGGGCAACCAGGCTTCCTATTAACATTTCCTATAGTATAAGTAAGGTTGGGAAAAAACTTATGATGGGACTTGTAAGTAAGCCTGAGTATGAATCTGTTTCAAAAACTTTAAAACATTGTCATTCTTCCGGAAAACAAAGATCAAATGCTGAAACTGAAGAAAGTTCAGTACCTACTATGACACGGGACCTCGGTTAATACGATCTCAATTGAGGACCGGTCTCCACGTCCCACAGTGGGATTCAAACCCGCGACGTAAGGATGTAACTCTAGAGCAAATGCTCTAAATTTAAACTAATTGAAGGGGAAAAGAATTCATTTTTGAAATGAAATTCTCTCAAACAAGCTATAATTCAGCGAATCTGTGTCCCTCCGCTTAGGGAAAAAGTAAACCATGCGCAGGGGGTGGGGTTGGGGGTTTCGGATCCCCTTGACTGAATTTGTAGAATTATTAAATGTATACTAAAGCAAATAAAATACATGTATGCCAATATGGATGTAAAGGCTTGATTGATTATTCTTTATTATGTGTGTAGAAGATTCTTTTTATATGGAATATTTATCACACTGTAATGATGATTTTATGAGTTTGTACAAGCCAGACCTCATAAATTTTTCATTTCACATACTGAATACTATCATTTAGTAAAAAAAAAAGTATTTGGGGAAAAAAGAAATTGGATTTTCCGGGTGCGAACCCTGGCCCTCTCATATGTGAAGCGAGAGACATTTTTTTTCTCTTTTATTAAAGTGAGAGACATACCACTAGACCACGGAGCCGCGTTATCATGGCGAAAATTATATACAAACATTAAGTCACCTACATGTATATATTCACGTTCGATATATTGTCAAAATTTAACACAATGCATGGTGTCTAATTTAACCTTTATTAAACAGTTCTAATAGATGTAATAAGAATATAAAGTCCGCCGAGAATCTGTTTCATACGTAACAACTCTCCTTCATGCCCCTGTGCTAAAAATAGCGACATGTAATACAATCAATACTAATAAAACAAACGGGACAGGACCCATTGAGAGGGCAGAGAGAGGTCCTAGGGACTTTTGGTATAAAATTACATTGCAAAAGCTCAACATCCTCTTGAAATATCGCCCGAAAACGATAGTGTTACACACAAACAGAATGTATACATTTATGACCTTGACCTTTGGACCTCAAAACCAATAGGGGTCTTCTTTAGTCCATAGGAAGTTGCTATGCAAAATTTCATTGCAAAAGCTCAAAGGGTTCTCGAGATATCGTGTGGAAACGAAAGCGTTATAGACAGACAGAAAGACGGACGGACGGACAGACCCAAATTAATATCCCCCACTTTTCAAGCGGGGGACAAAAAGTTCTTATACTGCTACTCAATGAAAGAACAAAGAACTGAAGCAACACATTAGTCACATACAACTTAATCATTTGCCACAACGCCCTTCAATGTTCTCCAAAATAGTTTCATTTCTTGCTCGTTGTTTGGTTTTGCAATGTAACTGTTCTTTTGGAAATATTGTAAGACCTCTAAAGACAGCTCTGCTTTGGGTATTTCTTCAAGGACAATCATTATAATTGCCTTACGGTCCATATGGCTTTCCTCTGTTACCGCCATGCGAAGTTCGTAATTACACCAATGGCTTTTGAGATATGCACGTGACATGAACACGATTGTCTTTCTGCTGGAATGAACGGCTTTGACAATATTTTTGGAAATGTATTTTCCCGGCGTGAAGTCTCTATAATGTATACATAATTTAAATTGAACGTTGGAATCTTTCTCCATTTGCTCCACAACTTTATCAACAAAGGCCCTGTCCTCATCTGCAAACGACAGAAAGGCGTCATACTTGTAGCCATCTTCACTCCCCCCTACTGGAGTGTATCCTTTCCTACGCAGACGAAACAGGTACCAACGGTAAATGATGGCCCAGCGCTTCTTGTAACCAACAACTACCAGAACGGAGAGAATAAAGAGAATACAAATTAACTGAACGGGATACAGCCATTCCTTGTCACGATTCTTGCCACATTCCTTTTTTAAGTATTCGTGAGCATTGGTAATGTTTCCGTTATACCCTGTACACTGGTCAGCTTCAGATAAATGTACAGATACTCTTGATGTGAAAAGCCAGTTGATGAATTCCAAATTATCACATGAACACAAAATCTTATTATGATGAAAATCTAAGATTATATCACGGGAAAGACTTAGTTCGTCCAAATTATCTCTGATGGCCTTTGGAAGAGTTTCAAGCTTGTTGACGGCGCAGTTAATGAATTTTAACTTTTTAAGATGCTTAATGCTTATGTTCCAAGATTCCAACCCATTATTACTGATGTCCAGTTTTTCCAAAAGATTGTTCTGTATTAAAAGATCTTCAGGCACTTGGCTGATCCAGTTATAACTCATTTTTAGATTCTTTAAAGATTTAAGTCCTTGAAAGACGTATTTGCTCTCATTGCGCTTGAAGAAAGGTCCCAAAGAGTTGAAACTTATATCCAGCGAGGAGAGATTCACTAAGTTGTCAAAAAATCCCCTGTTGATATCCTGGCATTGATTATGCGATAAATTTAGAACCTTGATTTGATTGGATTGATTAACGTTGATAGGACCGATCCATTTGTGATACCCATCCCTTGATATGTCAATGTACTCAAGCATGCTGCCAGTTCCGGTACTCAAACGTGGAATGCAGTTCGTCCCCGAAACCATACCAGTAGCAATCAATATTCTAAGACTAGAAGGAAGTGTCATAAGAACGTTGGCTTCCGGTGACTTTTCCATATTGCAGAACTCATCGATCGTATGGTTACTTGTATCAGAATCGGGTACGAAATCTACTCGTCTGCGTAGTCTAGAGCGGAATTGACGCGTCGTACACTGGAAACTGATGTCTAGTTGATGGAGACTTTTAAGATTTCCCATCTCAAAAAAAAGTGGTGTTGGTTCAAACCGATTTCCGCGGATTGAAACGTTTTGTAACGTCTGTGGCAAATAGAAAATGGCTCCAGACTCCGGCATTCGAATTTCGTTGTAGGCCAAGTGTAGGGTCTCCAGTGAGGTGTTAGTGAGCAGGAGAGAGATGTTCAGTGGGAACGGGTATGTTATTTTAACCTGGTTAATATTACTTGCATAAAGGTGTTTTATTCTGGTCTTATTGAGTCCAAAACACGCATTATATAAATTATCGAATCCAAGTTGGTCGTTGTTCGATATGCTTAGGTTCTCAAGAGAAGAAAAATTGGAGAAGCATCCTCTTGGGATGCTCCTCAACTTATTACTAGATAGTTTAATTATCCGTAATTTCTCCAGCTTCTTGAAGCACAGATCACGGAGAACACAGTCGCACAGATCACGGAGAACACAGTTGTTTCTGGATTTACGATAAATGAGCGTAGTGACGTTCACTGAAATGGGGGATTTTGTGTCTAATTCTCCATCACAGGTTACACTTACATCTGTCGAATTAGAAGTTTCAGTGCAGTTGCCACATAAATAGAATTCCATTTCTTCAGAAGCAGCCAAGTAAATAAAAACCACATAAAATAACGATATAACAAGACTTATTTCGTTCATCTTTCGTGAATTCCGTTTAGTCACTAACTGTCTGAAATAAAATAATTCAACGTATAATTAATTGAATCACCGATGTAAAAAGTTCCGCGTGCGAAACAACTAAGTGATTGGGCTCAGAGAATGGTCCTTTCCTTTAAAAACCGGACATAAATGAGTTAAAAGTCACGAGGAAGTACCTCTCAAACAATGACATGTAAGCAAATGATGAAATGATACTTTACAGATTGATAACGTTGATTTAAAACCAATATAATTAATTCTTATAGGCAAGTTTTGTATAATATTCATAAAACCTTTTGAGGTTTTCTTATTTACTTTCTTTAAAATGCGAAAAAAAAGATATATTTAAAACAATAAAAAAAAACTTCGACGAAATTGTGTATAAATGTAATGTCCTGCTCATTTACCTTGTAAAGTGTCATAATTTAAAAGATTTGAAAAAAAGCAAAAGAATTCCCGTTATGTCGGAAAATCATGTTTGTACACTTCACCTTTACTATGGGTGCGTACTTCCAAATGTCTATAAATTTTGACCAGGCAGTTTGATCCTTCCCTTAGTCGGAAAAAAGAGAAATAATGCGTATAATGAATTAATTCTGCTCAGAAATCTAATAATCCTTTCCCTTAGAGTAGGTTATGCTTTTACCGGGGTATTTATTTTTCAACAATATGACTACTTTCTATTGTAGAAAGTCCAAATGGGTATGTTTGCTGTAGGATTTTATTTATTACCCCAAAAAGAAACACCAGTACATAAATAAATTGTTACAAAACTTACATAATCCGTTATTTCTCGATCATGACAAGGAGCGCACGGCGGATGTGACCGGTCGGCAGGGGATGCTCACTTCTCCATGGCACCTGATCCCACCTCTGAAGTTTTGGAGGTCCGTGTTTGTTCTGCTCCTATTTGTATAGTTTTATGAATTTTTGATCTTGAATGTTGTTCGTTATATCCAAATGGTTCATTTGAAAAAAATACTATTATACAGGATTTTTTTCGCCCCCGTTTTATTTTTGCCGTACTCACGACAGGGCGAATTCAAAACGAGTGAATTCAAAGAACACGGCATAATTTTTTTAAAAACAGAATTATATGACTGAGCGAACTTCTAACGGGGCAAACTGCGTAAAAGTGTAAAAAGGTGAGAATAACACGACACTTTATACAAATAGGGTTACTGGGTGTGATTTGAATATACTTATTTTATCTTTGTGCATGAGAATGAGCAAAGAGGAATAACTGGAGACATCTCTAAAACATTGACCACAGTATTTGACATCCTCTTCACATAAGTTGAGTTGAAGACTAGTGAACTTGTAGTTACACACTTGAAGCTCTCTGAGGCAAAATAACGCCGTGTCGCAACAAACAGTAGATTTTTTTCTGGCGATTTATTAATTGGTTGTGATCCTGTCTACGAAAATAATCTCCTCCTCCATTCCCCTTAAGGATATCCGATCCTCAGCCAGGAAGGATAACTCCAAATATTAATATTTATTTGGAAATGCATCAGAATGAAGCTTGAAAATGAAATTTTTTCATGCAACAATTATCATTTTATTCATCTTCATAAGATTCAAGGTTTTTGGAAGTCTTAGAAAAAGTCTTTTAAAATTTGACATTTGTACCTTATAAAAGGAAAAAAATCAATACAGTTTTAGAAAAATAAGATTTTCTTGAATCCAGCCTTATAGATACCAATGCCTATTAGCATGATATGAAAAAAGAAGTGATTTGTGGTGTCTTGCAATGATAGCAAAAGCCTTTTACACTATGTATTATAGAATACATGACAGAAATAGAAGACAAAAAATACCAAATAAGTATAAAAATCATGACAATTTCTCTGATTGCCTGGATACCTATCGTTTTTAAACCTAAAATATATTTGCTGATCAATTTGCAATTAGAAAATGCATTGCTGATATTCCAATTCGCTTTTTCTGCAAAAATATTGGAGATTTGACAACTTTCCCTATATATTATTAAATTTGATTTTTAACTTGAAAGAAATACTGTGGATAAATTTACATAACTTTGTGGATTCAGAGGTTTTTTTATGAGTATTTTTGATTACTTAACTGCTAATTTTATAAACCTAAGGATCGGACTACCTTAAAGTTTTACCTTCATCATTGAAATGTGATTTTATAAAAAATTTACCAACTCTACATTGAACTATAATATTATAATTTATTAGTTAACATAAAATGCAGAAAAAATGAAGTATTCTGGTAGAATTGTTGAATTAACTGCTTAGAAAAGTCAGATGAGCTCTGTCATAACCATGGCCATTGTGTCTTCTGTTAGAACTACCAAGAGTTCTGCTTCCACAAATTCATATGCAACATCTTGAAGATTTCACATATCCTCTCCCCTCTCTCTCAGTGCACGTATATACTAGATCAAAAGGGTGGGCTTATGCGAAACAGGTCTTTCTCTACGGTCTTTTGCTATGAGCCTTTCTTGCTGTCATTCGGAACAATGCACTTAAAATATTGAACTGCTGTACATGTATTGTTCTATAACAAGGTCTTTGCTCATGAAGCCAATTATTGTCTGAAATGAAGAGTTTGTCTTCGGAGAAAATGATCTTTAACAAGAGTTTGACATGAGTGTATGAAAATTAATTCTTAAAATTCCCCCCTTTAGTGGTCATCACACTGAATTCAAAAACAATGAACAGCAATTAAGCTTTTAAGTCCACTGAAACAATCAAACTGGAAACAGAGCAAAGACAGAACATGATAGGATCAGGTGCCATGGAGGAGTAACCATCTCTTTTTTAAGGTATATCGACTGCGTATTGTCAGATAACAATGGTTATTTCCATTCTTAATTCGATACGATATATCCCGGTGAGCTTGTGATAAAAAAAAACTCACAAAGTCAGACACATCTCTTTCATATTTGGATATTTTACTAGAAAAGACGTTGATGGTAATCTAACAACCAAGCTCTATGATAAACGTAAAGACTTGAACTTTTCAATCGTCAACTTCCCTTACTTATGCAGCGACATACCTTCATCATCTGCCTGCGGGGTTTATATCTGTCAGTCTATTCGATACTCAAGAGCATGCTTTACGTATGTACAATGTCTAACACGAGGCAAATTATTGACAAATAAGTTGATGATACAAGGATATCAGCAGTCTCGCTTAAAGTCATCATTTTGTAAGTTCTATGGTTGATATAATGACCTTGTCAGCAAATACAATTTAACTTTGAGTCTATGCTGACAGACGTTTTTCATACTAATTGTTAGTCCACTATACCGGTATATACGCAATTAATTGACGACGGGTTTTCCGTTATTTTTCGTTATTTTCCTATTATAACAAAGAGCACACGGCAAGTGTGACCGGTAGGCAGAGGATGCTCACTCCTCCATGGCACCTTATCCCACCACCTCTGATGTTTTGGAGGTCCGTGTTTGCTCTGCTCTTATTTTGTATTGTTTAATGGACTTTTGAAAGTGAATACTTTTTGTTATCCCCATATCTTTCATTTTGGAGTGTATGAGCATGCTCGACGTAAAAATATTTTGGAAACAAGGCAAGTTGTTGTAACACAAGTTGACGAAACAAGGATATCAACATGCTCGTTTAAAGTCAACATTTGACAAATTTTATGACCAATACAAACACCTTTTCAATGAATACAATCTAACAATAAGGGCACCTGCAACGTAGTTTTGAGCTTCATTTATTTGTTTTCAGTATAATTGAAAAATTTCAATAGTTGATGAATTTTTTTTACAACTAAAATTATTTGTCATGGTGCTGTACACCTTTTTAAATCGAATTGTACAGAAAAACTTCGTAAATTTGATAATTTTTCTCCAAAAAAAGGATTTTTACCATTTAATATTTCTTTAAAACACCTGGTAATGTATACTGATTTTTGTCTTCAAATTTTTATTGAGATTATGGTGTTAAATTAAGAATATCTTGAAATATATCAGTAGGTATGTCTGTTGTACGGTATATGTACATGTATGTGTATACATGTACATATGCAATCTGCGTAAGTCCTTAAGTCGCATGCTGACTAACATTTACATACAGATTGATAGACCATAACATAAAAAATTGTCGCCGGATTTTTTCTGTTTTCCTGATCCTGACCAGGAGCACACGGCGGTTGTGACCAGTCGACATGGGTTGCTTACTCCACCAGGCCTACTGATTCAACACGATGCTTTAAAGGTCTCTGAATGCACTGCTCCCAGTTTGTAAGTTTTCAATGTACTTCTGAGCTCGATTTCTGTTCGTTATATCTATTATTCATCTAAATGTTGAATTGAAGACATGTAGAGAGTTTTTCATACCAGGTTTTGAAAATGAATACCAAGAAAGGTCTGCTTATGACGGCGCAATTCGTATCCATGGAAATTCAGATATATTGTTGGAATTCTTATCTCTGAAAACGATGGAGATATTCAATCAAAAACTCATGTTTCTTGATGGTAACGATAAAAAAAAATTATCTTTTATGTAACATTTTTGATTTAAACATTTTTTCACCAAATACTGACACACCGAAAACTATCGATAAGGTTTCCTTCTCTTTTAGGTAATGAAATAAGTAAAGTTTTTTCTCATGGTCATTGGCACAGCTGATCTAAACTTCAACGTGAAAAATTATGTTACTAACACTAGGATATTTACTTTTTCACTTTTGAAAACTTGCAAGTGCTTTGTATACGGATGTTCGCATCTCCAGTATAGAACACCCTTAACAAACCATCGGCTGGTGTCACTTGAATAGGGAACATAGAGCGCCCTTACCAAAACATCGGCTGGTGTCACTTAAATAGGGGAACATAGAGCGCCCTAATCAAGGGATCAGCTGGTGTCATTTAAAAAGGTCTATATGCTGAGTATATGTCAGTCAATTTAAGCACGTACTGAATTAATGCATTATCTAGGCATTCTAATCAGACATACATAGCAGACAGATGTGTTAATTCTTTTTTATCCTCGCTTGAAAAGTGGGGGGTGGGGGCAAAAAGTGATTGAGGTGTCTTTCCGCCAGTACGTCCGTCCGTCCGTTACACTTTGGGGTACCCATCTCTTATCCATATCTCCTCCTATACCACTAATGACATTTTTTACACAGTGCCTTTTGTACAGCTCCTATTTTACTTTTTGATAGCACACATATTTTGGGAAGCGCGAACACTGCCATTCTACCAATAATATTGCGATGTAATCATCTCTTAAATCCGTAACTTCCCCTATACCACTGAATAAAATTTCATGATACTTTCACATATTTTTCATTGCACAATGCTATTCAATTGTGCACTTCCTATTTTACTTTTTCATCTGACACTTTTTTGGGTGTCCTATAGAGCAAAACATGGATTTCGCCATATCGGAGGGTATCTTTTTTGAGCTCGTTGAGAAACTGTTTTTGTGCAAATGCTTCATGATAATCAAAGAATTCGTGCTGCTGGAATGATACAGGCTTAGTTAGTTCAAAACATTGTTGTCTGAAAATTTGGTGTTCACAGAAACCCTCTTTGGTCGTTATACAGACGTTTCCATCACGTTTCTATCACCTGCATACGGGGTTAATATCTCTCAGTTAATTCGATATACGCAAGAGCATGCTCTACGTTTGAACAATTTAAAAAACGTTATTGACAAACAAGTTGCTGAGACAAGAATATCAGCAGTCTCATTTAAAGTTATCATTTAGCGTAAGTTGTTTGGTCGATACAATGACCTTGTCATCGAACACCATTCATCAATAAGTTAAATACTGACTTTTTCTTTTCATAATGTGTCGACAGAATTTTCTGTTGTTTCCCGATCATGACAAGGAGCACACAGCGGATGTGACCGGTTTGCTGTGGATGCTAACTTCTCCATGGCACCTGATCCCACCTCTAATGTTTTGGAGGTCCCTGTTTGCTCTGATCCTATTTTGTATTGTTTAATGGACTTTTGAGCTTGAATACTGTTGGTTATCCCCATACATTTCATTCCAATAATTCGACAATTTGGAACGACCTCGTTCAGGATGTCCCCATGTGACTTCGGTACACCAAAATAACCATATCTATAATAACATATATCGACAAAATCATTTTCAGACAGCAAGTTTGATTGCTCTTATAATCCTTGGTATGAAGCGAATAAGTGCAGAGAATTGTAGAATTGTACTAATCGCTTGTGTAAGCATAACATCAGATCTACTCGTAGACTCCTACGATACGTCCAATACTGCCCCAGTCGCATCAGAATTAGCATGGTGTTGGAGAAATCTGAGGTACCGATTTCAAGACTGGACCAACGTTTTAATCACTGATGAATCAAAATTCATTTGAGCAGCAATGGTGGTCGTCGCGCAGGAGGGTTTATTACCGGTAGCCTGTGTAGTGCAACGTCGACAATTTAGCGTCAAGGTGTGGGATGATATTACAGATCAAAATAGGACCCCTTAATGGGTAATACCGGTAAATGGACGCCTGACAGTAGTTAGAATGATCTGTGTCTCGGGACAAACCCTCACAAACTGGGTCCATAATTATGACAGTATCATTTTAACGAAAGAACGTTCTATCTATAACCTGACATGCACTTTCATTTGGGATGAAAAGAAACCAACGTCATGTGAAACCGTTCATACAGAGACAACAAAATGTGCAACAGGATAACACCATACCAAATGTTACCCGTGTTGTCAATGACTTTAATACATGACAGAAATCACACTTTCAACCGATTTATCCCCGATTGAACAGATAGGGGTGACATTTTTAATGAAAATACGGTCACGTTGTGTGCCAAACGCGCTATATTTGGAACAACATTCCGAATGAAGAATTTGAACAATTCATTTTCTCCAATAAGACCCTGGTATCTAATATGTGTGATGGCTATGCGTGAATTTAGTTTGTAAATCATTGATTTTCTTATAATAATTTTTTAAATAATAATGATTTATTACAATTATTTACGATATGAAAATCCATTTATTTGAGTATGCAACAAATTTAGCTGTTCTGTCTACCCTTATATTGCAATAAATTAATTTCATTATTCTCTGTCCAACACCGGATTCATACACAAAAGTGTTTTAGTTTTCTGTAAAAAACAAAACAAAACATTAATGGTAATGGTGCGCAAAACTCGCCTTTTAACCTAAATAATTTGCAACTACTCCTTTCAAAGTTTTCAAGAACAGTTTCATTTCTTGTTCGTTGTTTGGTTTTGAAATGTAGCTATTCGTTTTGTAATACTGTAATACTTCTAAGGTGAGTTCTGCTTTGGGTATTTCTTCAAGGACAGTCATTATAATTACTTTGCGGTTCATGTGGTTTTCCTCTGTTACCGCCATGCGAAGTTCGTAATTACACCAATGGCTTTTGAGATAAGAACGCGACATGAACACGATTGTCTTTTTGCTGGAGTGAACGGCATTGACAATATTTTTGGAAATTGATTTTCCCGGAGTAAAGTCTCTGTAATGTACACAGACCTTTAATTGAGTGTCGGAATCTTCCTCCAATTGCCCCACAACTTTATCAACAAAGGCCCTGTCCTCATCTGCAAACGACAGAAAGGCGTCATACTTGTAGCCATCTTCACATCCCCCTATTGGAGTGTATCCTTTCCTACGCAGACGAAACAGGTACCAACGATAAATGATAGCCCAGCGCTTCCTGTACCCAACAATAGCCATAACAGAAAGAATAAAAAGAAGAGCAATGAACTGAACTGGATAAAGCCAGTCCCTTCTGTCCAGATTCTTGCCACATTCTTTTTTTAGGTAAATATAAGCATGGGTAATATTTCCACTGTATCCTGAGCACTGGTCGGCTTCTGATAAGTGTATGATAACTTCTGATTTGAAGACCCAATTGATGAATTCAACATTCTCGCATGAACATAAAATTTTATTATGATGAAAATTTAAAGTTATTTTATGGTGAAGACTTAATTCATCCAAATTATCCCTGATGGTCTTGGGAAGAGTTTCAAGCTTGTTGAAGGAACAGTCAATGGATGATAAATTTTTAAGATGGCCGATGCTGATGTTCCAAGTTTCCAGCGCATTATTGCTGATGTCCAGGTTTTCTAACAAACTGTTATGTAATAAAAGATCATCAGGCACTTGGCTGATCCAGTTGTAACTCATTATCAGGTTCTTTAAAGATTTCAGTCCCTCGAAGACGTCTTTGCTCTTATTGCGTTTGAAAAAAAGTCCCAATAAATTGTAGCTTATATCCAGCGTGGAGAGGCTGAACAAATTGTCAAAAAATCCACTGTTAATATCCCGGCATTGGTTATGTGATAAAATAAGAACCCTGATTTGATTAGATTGGGTGAAATTAAGGGGACCAATCCATCTGTAATATGCATCTTTAGATAAGTCAATGTATTCGAGCATGCTGTCTCGTCGAATATTCATTGGCGGAATGCAGGTCGATCCCGATTTCATACCCGAGGAAATCAACTTCTTTAGACTAGGCGGAAGTGCCATTAAAGTCTTGCTTTCTTGTGACACTTCTGAACTGCAAAACTCATCGATTGTGTGGTTTTCAAACTCTGGTTCAAAATCTACTCGTCTTCGAAATCTGGAGCGGAATTTACGCGTGGAGCATTGGAAACTTATGTCCAGTCGGTTGAGGCTTTTGAGGTGCCCTATCTCAATAAAATTTGGCACTGTTTCAATTCTATTTCCACGGATTGAAATATCTTGAAGTGTCTGTGGCAACGAATATATCGTCCCAGATTCAATAAATTGAATTTCGTTGTACGCCAAGTGTAACGATTTCATTGTCGTGTTTTGAAGTAGAAGAGATATATTCTTTGGAAAAGGATAAATGTTTTTCACCTGATTAATATTATTTGCATAAAGGTGTTTTATTCTGGTATTATTAAGTCCGAAACACGCATTGTATAGATTATCCAATCCAAGATGCTCGTTGTTTGATATGCTGAGATTCTCAAGAGAAGGAAAGTTAGAAAAACATCCTTTTGGAATGCTGCTCAACATATTATTGGTGAGGTTTATAGCCCTTAAATTCTTGAAAGTATTACGGCACAGATTGTCAATCGCCTTATTGCTTCTCGATTTGAAATAGATAAGTATAGTGACGTTTTCTGAAACGGAGGTAAAGACGTCATCATCTGAGTCACATGTACATGATACTATCACATCTGTCGAATAAGAAGTTTCAATGCATTTACCATATAAATGCGATCCAGTCTTCATAGATGCAGGCAAATGAATGAAAATAGCACAAAACAATATTGCATGAATCTTTACATTCATCCTTTATGAATTACGGTAGTCATTTATTTCCTTAAATGAAAATTTATTGTCTATAAAGTTATCAATGGAATCTCCAAATAAAAAAGAAATCCTCGTGCGAAACTACATGTACCCTAATATATATAAATTGGTTTCCTTCTTCCTTTGAAAGCGGAAAGTGAATGTAATCTTTAGGTCGAGGAAGTATCTCTCCAACAATCGATATGATTTAATGATGGAAATTATTATTTTTGAATGAGAATGAATATGTCTGAAATGAATCATCTAATATTTTAATACTTTTATGTCATTTGTTTCTTGGTAACCGAAAGAAAAATTGATTTCTTGTCAAGTATCAATTGGTCTTTAAACGACCGACAGATAATTTCGATAACATTTGATAAATATGCATGCATGCGAATATATAACGATCAAAAATATTCACCAAGTTCGCCTGTGTAGTGGTTAGAGCGTTTGCACTAGAGTCGCCGTGTAATTTAAGGAGTTGATCCTTGCGTCGCGGGTTCGATTCCCACTGTGTGTCGTGGAGACTGGTCCTTTGGACTAGACTGTATAAACCGACGTCTCGTGTCGCAGTAGATGCTGGTACGAAAAAGATCCCTCACTGCTCAATGGCCCTAAGTATAGGACAAAGGCCAGAGTATAGGACAATATTTGCAGCTCTCCACCGGCCACGTCTTCATTTGAGTGAAAAATTCTCGAGAGGGACGCTAAACAACATACTAACAAACAAACGTTGACCGTGCCTCTGTCATATCGAGAGAATATTTGTAATCAATCCGTACATATACTTTAAAATCTCTCATTCTTCATACACTTCCATTTTTTCTAAGTATGTCAGCATTTAAAGGTTTTCATAAATAATGCAAGGGGAGACTACTCCAAATACTAGTATTCAAACGTCATTGGAATTAAATTATTCTTTGCTTTACAGGGTTGTATCTGATCATAAATGTACATGTACTTAGTTTACCGTTAAACCCATTTAACCTTTCTTGTAAAATTTGAAAAAAAATTAAAGTTTCTTTTTTTTATGATGTCATGTAAGTGAAGCTAGGTAAAGTAAATGAAGGTACATGTATATCTAAACAAAATATTTAGACAATCACAAACAAAATCGTTTTCACTGTCGTTTTTAAAATGAAGAAAGTATAAATATGTGTCCCCCCTATCATTCAAATAAAATAACCTATCATCTCTAAGAAAACGGTTATTTAGTTCTCCTGTAAAATAAGATTTAATTTAATTTTGCTTAGGTTACTAGTAAATTTATATCAAATTAAATATTGGTATTTGGATAAGGAGATAAAGATCTCATATTTCACACGAAATGTACAAAATTATGACAACTCTTTAAGAAATTCTGTTAGGTTAGTCTTTTATCTCAGGACCTTGAAGTTTGTCCCTTTTTAAACCACGAACTTAAACGAAAGATCCAGGCGGAAAATTTTTGATAAGCAATAAAAACATGGCTTTCCCCCTTCTTTACCATATTTCGAGGGCTTTTCTTTCGATCCTTTCATGGTCAAGTGTAATGGGTTGTGTGACATAATGTTTCCTAAGTTATCCCTCTTTACTCGTTTTACCTTAGAAAAATAAGTAGTAAAACATTTTTATGTAACAAAAAATTATTTAATGGGTACTAATGATAATTGATCTATTGTTGCATAGGGTAATGATTAATAACAAAATATGAGAAATGAAAATTCTGATATTATTTGATTTGACTTTGTGTGTCACCTTAGTAGGAGGCAGATTTTCTAACTTAGAGATTCATTTTTAACAGACATAAACACAATGTTGGATTGTACATCTTTCAAAATTTTGCTTTGAACTAAATGACATTACGTCGTATATGTTGCTATAACGTTTTGGACCGACACATTAAAACCGTTTTCAGAAACCTTTCATCGAAAGAAATGGCTTTAAACGTTGATACAGCTGCTCTTGTTCAAGTGAATGGAACAGATCTTTTAAATCACTCAGACTGCTTTGTCTACCTTGACAGCATCATAAGGCCTGAGAACTGAACATGGTGAAACAACGACAGTCATTATAATTACATGTACCTTGCGGTTAATGTGGTTCTCTATGAAGACTACAGGAGATGTAGGAAGGAGGACGTGTACAATTATGAATAGGAAAAGATGGAGAAGAATAAGTGCTTCGGAGAGATCTTCAATCAGTCACAAGAACGGTACTCCACTGGACTCCAGAGGAAAAGAGAAAGACCTAGAACAACATGTTGAAGCACAGTGGAGAATGAGATAAGAACAATGCAGCACTCTTGAGGATCGCCGACAAGACTGGTCCAAGACCAGCGGATGTGGAAAGACTGTTAGCGCCATAGACACAAAAGGATTAATGGCCGATGGTGATGTTGACATTTTCCCCTGGGAGATGAAAGCAGGAGACCTGTTGAGAAAGCATACTCTAGATCCTAACTTCGATGTGGTGAGATCTATACTCCCAATGGCTGTAAAGTAAGTTTGACCCCCCTCCACCAGGTTTTCCCCATTCAATTATTGTTGCTTTTACTATTGTTACAATCACTGTACAGAATGTATTAGGCTTCCAAGCTTTTACAACGGTGCATTAATTGCCCCCACTTTCAATGGAAAGGCAGATTGACATTTGGATCTAATGAAAACCTCAAACATGTAAAATTTATATCCTCAGCTAATCTTTCTGGGGATATTATGCTTTCTTAGGAAGTGTCGCTCTATAGCAACAGCATCGATTGTTACTATTTCAAGAAAAGTCTAAGATCTGAATTGAAATAATTTTTATAATTATCTTACAATTCTAATTCATATCCAATGTCGAGTTCAAAAGATACAGCTTTAATCATAATATAAAATAAATATGAAGCATACCGGTATATACAATGAAGTAAACTTAGTCATTCCTCACTACTCCTTTCAAAGTTTTCCAGAATAGTTTCATTTCTTGCTCGTTGTTTGGTTTTGCAATGTAGCTATTCTTTTTGTAATACTGTAATACTTCTAAGGTGAGTTCTGCTTTGGGTATTTCTTCAAGGACAGTCATTATAATTACTTTACGGTTCATGTGATTTTCCTCTGTTACCGCCATGCGAAGTTCGTAATTACACCAATGGCTTTTGAGATAAGAACGTGACATGAACACGATTGTCTTTTTGCTGGAGTGAACAGCTGAGACAATATTTTTGGAAATTGATTTTCCCGGAGTAAAGTCTCTGTAATGTAAGCAAACTTTAAATCGACTATCAGAATCTTCCTCCAATTGCTCCACAACTTTATCAACGAATGCTCTATCCTCATCTGCAAACGACAGAAAGACGTCATACTTGTAGCCATCTTCACATCCCCCTATTGGAGTGTATCCTTTCCTACGCAGACGAAACAGGTACCAACGATAAATGATAGCCCAACGCTTCTTGTACGCAATAACAACCAGTACCGAGAGTATGAAGAGAATACTGAGAAACTGAACGGGATAAATCCATTCTCTTTTATAGTGAACTTTGCTGCATTCTTCATTCAAGTATTGATGTGCTTGGGTTAAGTTACCATCGTACATTGTGCACTGGTCGGATGTCGCTAAACTCACGTTTACACTGGATGTGAACAACCAGTTGATAAAGTCCAAATTGTCACAGGAACATAAAATTTTATTATGATGAAAATCAAGTGTCACTAAATGGTTTTGACTAATCTCATCCAAACTATCTCTGACAGTCTTTGGTAAAAAAGCTAGCTTGTTGAAAGAACAGTCGATAAGTTTTAATTTTCGAAGATGACTGATGTCAAGAGTCCAATTTTCTAGTGCATTATTACTAACGTTAAGTTCCTCTAGTTCAGTATTATATTCAAGTAAATTTTTGTCAACATGACTTATTCTGTTGTAACTCATCAACAGAGTCTTTAAAGAAACCAGTCCTCGGAATACATTTGCGCTTTCTGTGCGTTTGAAGAAGGGACCCAGAAAATTAAAGCTTATATCCAGATAGGTCAAGTTCTTTAAGCTGTCAAAAAATCCTTCTTTAATTTCACCACATTGGTTGTGTGATAGAATAAGAGTTCGAATGTTATTGGATTGATTTGCATTAAATGGACCGAGCCACGTGTAGTACCCTGCTCGCGATATGTCAATGTATTCCAGCATACTCTGTTTCCTGGTGTTCAATCGCGGAATGCAGAAGGATCCAGAACCCATACCCGTTGCTAACAGTTTCTGAAGACTAGATGGCAGTGAACGGAGAACATTACTTTCTATCATATCTTTGTTACATTCTATATAACTCGTATGGTTTTCAATATATGGTCGGAAATGCACTCGCCTTCGTGATCTAGAGCGATATTTTCGTGTTGTACATTGAAAACTTATGTCAAGTTTTCTAAGTCTTGTTAAATTTGTCATTTCCAAAAAAATTGGGCTTGTTTCAAGGCGGTTGCCGCGGAGAGAAACATCTTGGAGTGTTCTTGGCATATAATATATCGCTCCGGATTCCGCTGTTCGTATTTCATTGTACTCCAAGTGAAACGTCTCCAGAAACGTGTCCTGTAGCAGAAGAGAGATATTCCTTGGAAAAGGGTATGTAACTCCTACCTGATTGATATTATTTGAGTAAATGTGCTTTATTTTGGTCTTGTTAAGTCCGTAACACGCATTGTAGAGATTGTGTAATCCCAAATCGTCATTGTTAGAGATTGAAAGATTTTCGAGAGAAGGGAACGCAGAGAAACATCCTTCTTCAATGCTTTCCATTTTGTTCTTGGATAGGTCTATTACGCGTAGTTTTTCGTAACCCTTTTCGTGACAAAGGATATTTCCTTTGCAGCTTATGTAGGTAAGAATAGTGACGTTTTGGGGGATTGATGTGGGTGGTTCAGTCAGAAAGGAACACGTGACCATCACATCCGTTGAATTGTATTCTAGAGAACAGTTGTCAGATCCAAGTAAATTTTGGCATATAGTCCTACAGATGAAAAGAGAAAGAATAAGGTCAATAAAT